TCCTGCTTCAAGACGATGCCCCAAACGTTGTGGCACGAACGAGCACAATAACGTCTCCAGCCCGGGCGAATGTTTTGCCTGCAAGTGTGCGTGTGTGTGTGTGGGTGTGTGTGTGTGTGTGTGTGTGTGTGGCAAGTGTATTGTGTGGCAAGCTCTGTTGGAGGGTTGAGGCAAGCTGTCTGCTCCGGCATTTGCCGTAGACATTCTTGGGGAATACCTTTTAGCAACTCAGACTTGGCTGACTGCTGCTCCTGCTGCTGCTGCTGATGTGTGTATTTGTGTGTGTGTGTATGTGTGTGTGTGTGACTGGGTGTGTGTGTGGCTATGCTACTTATGAGTGTTGTTTTTGCTGCTGCTGCTGCTGGCTTTTTATACCCTGAACCCATTGTAAAGAGGTTATTTTCTTTTTGTGCAACTGTTAGAGGCAGAGGACAGCATCTCTGACCCTATAAAGTATATAGATTCTTGATCAGGGGGACGAACTGAGTCTTTCTAGCCATGTCCAGCTAATTGTCTGTTTGTCTGCCCATTGTGAGAGCGTGTCTAACTCGATCTAGAGACTTCTCATATTGATATTCCCCTATACCACACGCAGCATGATATTATTATTATTGTAATCGATATCTCTGTACATTTCGATAGCTGCGATAAAAATCGATTTTATGACTTGGTTTTTTAGGAATAACTCGAAGATTATAGAAGCTAGTTACACCTAATTTGGAATGTAGCTGCTTGAATAGTATATAAAAATAAAAAATAAATCACTTTTCGTATACCTCACCCATTCCTCCTCAAATCTGACAAAAGCGCATTTTCAATGCTAGAGCCTTGCGCTTTGGTATGTGCACACTTTTTTGTGCCATAGTTAAGCCATGGAAATTTCATTAAGATCGGACTCCAAACACCCAAGTTAAGCTAGAATGGATACCCTATAATAAGAGACTAAGCGAAGAAGAAGCACCGAGGCGTGCCTGTCTCTGTATTTCCTTGTGCTTGTATGTATAGAAGAAGTTCAAATGTTTGCATCATCAGCTTAACACTAGCTTGAGGGTATCTGCAAGTCGGGCACACCCTGTTTCACATTTATTTTGCTGCTGCTGTCGCCTGCTGCTGCTTCTGCCGCTTGTCTGCCGCAATTTTACTCTCGAAAATTGTGTGAAAATTGTTTTTCTTGTTGTCTTGCAGTTGTTGTTGTTGCTGTTGTTGTTGTTGCCGTCATTTGGCCTTTTGCCTTTTTGTTTAAGATTCTGTGGTTTGTGCATTTGTAAATAATCTTGTTTTACATCGCATCCGAGACTGGAGACTGGACGAGACTGTCCGCCCGGCTCGTGTGCCGGTCAATCCTGGTCAAATCTTAGGGGCGGGGCTGCCAACCGGACAACTACATAATTTATGTGTGAAAAGTCTCTCTTGCTCTTTCTCTGTGTGTGTGTGTGTGTGTGAGTGTGTTTATGTGTATTTGATTTTGGCTTAAGAATTTGAGCCTAAGGTTTCTTGTGTGTGTGTGTGTGCGTGTGTGCGTGAGTGTGTGCGGCAGCTTGAGTCAATTATGTTGCACAGATATCAAGTTAACAAATTAAATGGCTCTTTGCATGCCACAAAATGATTGGCCTTAAATAAACACTTTAATTGTTTGATTTTTGGGAGTAGCTTTTGAGCCTTTTATTGTGTTAATTGTGGCAGCATTATTGAAATACATTCACAATTGCGCATTTATTGTGAACGAGGGACGGTTGTCTTTAGAAGAGAATTAAATTTAATCACATGTGACAGATGAATTTGAATGTATAAATAATAGAAATGTATAAATAAATAAATATACAAATTTTGATGGCATTCCACAGAGCTGATTTAGTAGCTACAATTTAAACTTGAGCTAATTCTAACCTCCCTAAACACGCCTTATTTTCGCAAGACCTACTTTTCACACAAAACATGAGAATAACTATTTAAATACTCTCCACGAACCGATGGGGGACACCACCCAATAGGCCTCTCTATATCTCAGGCTGATTCTCTTGCGCAGCCCGACTGGTTTGACGTCCTGCAAGGAGTCAATGGAGTCCAAGCTAGGAACATGGAATGAAATAATCCTAAGGGCGCTTACAGAGGCGATCTTCCGGCCTCAAAACTTAGTCGGCTTCATCCCAGCGTTCGCGAAAGACTTGAAGGTCCACAGACTTCTCGATCTGCTCGAAGGACAAAAGCCAGGCTTCTTAGCGTCTTCCACAGGGTGCTGGGGGTTAGGAGGAGGGTGTGGGAAGGGGGGGGGGGGGGGACATGCTGAAGATTGCCATGAAGCCGCACTCCGCCAGCCGGCTAAAAAGCCAGAATACTTGGGGAAAACTTAACCTCAAGCCGAAAAGCGAACTCCTCAAACGCTTCTGCTGCTCAAAGGATGCACTGCGGGCTATCACTGAGCCTCATCAGCTCCCTCAGCAGGCAGGAGTCTCCTTACCAACAAGAGAGCAGACGTAAAAAGTGGGCAACTGTGTGCAATGGCAGCTTGGCGCTGGATTCAGGGTAACTCCTAGTCGAGCATTCCCTCTTACGCGTGGTATATGATGCGACTGAGTAAGGAGCTATACGGCTTATATTAAAGTGTGAGTTGACCCGATTGGACGCAGTGCACCTTACACCACCAATCAATAATAATAGAACGGGATTTTTAATAATCAGAATAACAATAATTAACAAGACAAAAAATCATTTATGCTTTGGGTTGGCTTGCCAGACATATATCATGATACATACATGCATCTTATTATATATTTTACTCTATTTACTCTTACAAGAAATTAGTCAGATCTATTGCGATAAAACATCTCAGGCCAAAGTAGCCAATAATTAAGTAATAATAATATGAATTCAATTTTGTATTTCAAATGCCGTTTTCAGAGTTTGTTTTTACCAACGTCTACTGAAATCAAACATAGATGGCGGCAATGTGCAATTCCCAAAATTACCCTCAAAAGGTGGTGGACCAAGACAAGGGTTCTTATCCGCACTAACTGCCTGGGGTATTTTGCTTGTATCCCAAAGGTTCTTTTCCATGTATCAAACTAGATGGCGGCAGTGTGCAATTCCCAAAATTTTCCTCAAAAGGTGGTCGCCCAAGACAAGGGTTCTCATCCGCATAAAATGCCTGAGGTATTTTTCTCTTATCCTATACAAACACCAATAAAAGTCAGCGCATGCGTTCCACTCGAATTCCCCCTTTACAAATTCTATTCAAATTTCTTATATTTAATAAGCCAACGTCTACTGAAATCAAACATAGATGGCGGCAGTGTGCAATTCCCAAAATTACCCCCAAAGGTGGTCGCCCAAGACAAGGGTTCTCATCCGCACTAAATGCCTGGGGTATTTTGCTTTTATCCCAAAGGTTATTTTCCATATATCAAACTAGATGGCGGCAGTGTGCAATTCCCAAAATTTTCCTCGAAATGTGGTCGTTCTCATCCGCACAAAATGCCTGGGGTATTTTTCTCTTATCCTATACAAACACCAATATAAGTCAGCGCATGCGTTCCACTCGAATTCTACTTTAATAAGGACTGAACATTGTAAAATTCCAGTTTAAAACGATTAAGGTGCTTAGAAATTAGTATATAATTCTCTTCTCAACTAATGCCATACGAAATGGAAAACTTTAAGCTTCAATAACGAGGTCCAAACATCATTTTAGCTAAGTTAGGTTTTCCAAATGAAATTTTTATTGACAATTATTGCGCTCATATTATGATAGATATGTTTATATATGATCCAGACACGCAACAGACACGCATGTATACATAGACACACACATGACATATAAATAGTTCCTATTTCGTTATCTCATGCAGTCGCCCTTGAATAAACATACTATTATCTACAACTCGTATACATGTACATATGTATGTCGCCCTACTCGCCTGATCAGACGCAATTGCTGTGACTGTGACTGACTATCAGCGAGATTCCAAAATATAAAAGATTTCAATCATTCCTCACTCTTATGAGCAATGCCCCAGCTAGACCCTGGGGACAGCTCATGCGCTTTTCGAAGCGGTTCCAAAGTTCGCGCCAAGGCAGCGGACATTACGTAGTTTCCAAGCGATTCAGAGTTATTTAGACGCCGCCACGGAATAGCCATAAAAATCGAACGATAAGAAATTATCAAGGCTTATCACCAGGGCGCCGAGTAAGAGAAAGAGAGAGAGAATGAGAGAGCGAGAGAGCGGGCGCTAGAGAGAGCGAGTGAGAGCGAGGGCAAGTCCCGGGCTGATCTGCAGACACATTAAAAAGCATTAAGACATAAATACATATTGAAACATGGAAGAACATTAGGAATAGGAATCCAGCCTTATCGCCGACAGCCTAAGGCTGAGCGCTGCTAGAAAATCGAGCGATCCGACCTCTATTCAGTTGAGTTCCAGCAAGAGACGAGCGAGGTCTACACGCAACTCAATTTTATAGTAACAAATACTAGCTAAACGCAGTTAATTAAATCATAAAACAAACACTTTGAAAATTTGATAAGAATTAAAAAAAATTGTTATAAAATTAAAATATAAATAGACATCATTTATATATATATAATCCAATAATTAAATCCAACTAAATCTAACAAAACGCAGGTTTTAAAGTGAAACTTAAAATTTGAATGAAAACAAAATAAATAATAAATGAATAAATATATAAATAAATATAAATTATAAATATAATATAAATAATAAACCATAAACAAACAAAATTAAAAATAAATATATATAAATTTATACAGACAAATTAAATAAATATATATCAATTTGATCATATGTCGAATATACAGATATATTCAAAAGTTAATCCTAGCTAAGCGAAAGCTTTAAAGTGCAAAAAAATAAAATAAAATGATATAAAAATAATTATATATGTACATAAGTATATATATATATATAGGTTTTTTTAAATAAATAGTTGATAATATAAAATAAATATAAAAAAAAACAAAAAACTATCAATATAAATAAATGTTATAATTAAAATATATATGCACACGGAATTATAAATGTGTAAAAAACAGCATATTGAAATCTAAATCTAAAAGACAATATATAATATATACTATATATATTAGCTCTATATAATCACACACATTTCGCCTGACTGATAAGCCGGAGCTCTTGGTGCAGGCGAAAAAACAAATATTGAAGACGCGTTGCAACTTTTGAACTCTGCGCTGCGATGATTTCCCATACAGTGAGGTGAGCATAGAGAGCTCTGTATATATGCATATATATGTGTATATATAGAGAGCAGCATGTCGCCCGATAAGCGAATATTAAAACCGAATTGCCATTTGTAGAGTATTCAAGCTGATGTATATCGTGGCTGGCATACTGATTAGCAATGAGGAAATCTGCGATACGGTCGATCGCATACAGATCGCGCCACGCGTCGAAATGAAGCCCGAGCCGGAGCAGCGCGGCGGCGGCGGCGGCGGCGTTGCGGCGCGGCCGGAACGCAGCGACTACTCGCCCAAATCGAAGCGACGCAGGAAGGTGAGCGTCACCGGACTGGCCGGCGGCATGGTGCGCGGCGTCACCAGCAAGGTGACCAGCCAGGTGACCAGCCGGATAAGGATGGGCACACGCTGCACCTGGCTCTACAGCATGCCCCTCATCCTGGGCCAGTGGCGCAATTTGGCGCTCAGCTTCACCCTCTGGACCATACCCAACTGGCTGCTCGAGTACACGTCCAGCTACATCAGCCGAAAGTTCTTCATCAACAGCGACTGTGATATGATCTACAAATAGTTGCAATAGCTATATACATATATAGCTATATATGCCCCAACACCTGATCTGGGCATTATAATTACTATACTATGCAGACATTTCTGGCAGCCATCAAGTATATAGTATATAACGTGTGTATATATAGTATAACTATTGCAGAGCCCAAGTCCATGTGCTTATCAGTCAGTCTGTTTAACCTGTTCACCTGCCTGGTCTCTGTTCTCTGTGAACTAGTCTCGCGCCGAGCAGCTATGCTGCTCTAACTAGGTACAGCTGCTTCTCTTAAACGCAGTTAGTACATATCCCAAAACCCAGTCGGATCGGTTCACTATATCTTGCCTGACATGCCTGAAGTAAGATCTAGGTCTTGTGTCTAAACTTGGGCCTTGGTTAGTCAAAAAAAAAAAACAAAAGCACGTGTTTATAAGCCCGACAACTATATTATATAGCTGTCATTGGAAGAATCGCTCGAAACTTTTGTTACTAAGCTTAATCGGACTACTATAACATAGAGAGTCTTCATAGATAAGATCGTTTGTAAATGAAGTTCTTGTACTTTAATACTGTTTATTGTACAAACCTGGCGGCACCTAACTTGATTTAACCGACACTCTGAGTTCTGATTGACACTTGTTAAACTAAAACTTTAAAAAAAAATTTAAGCAATCAAAAATGAAAAAAAAAATGGATAATCATATTACTATACTATTACTATATATATAATCTATATATATTATGCTACAATATTATAATATTATTTAGTTTATGTATGAAAAAGTGTTTTGATAAGCTTTAAGATATCTTGAAGAAACTCAACAATTTCGAGCACATTTAATCGTTTTCCTATATCATATACCTCCCATAGGAATAATATGTCAAAAATGTATAGATTACCTTTATTTGTTCTTATAGATAAGGAAACTTTAGGAAACTCCACATAAGATTGTTTAAATATCAGTTATATACGTAAAATATTTCAATTCTATTCTAAAAAGAACTAATTGATTAAACTCTGCAAGGAATTAGTTTCTGTCCCGCTCGCTCTCCAGAGGGATCCTTTCCTTTCTCCCCCCCCCCCCCTCTTTTATTTCTCCACTTAAAAGTTGACTAAGACACACACAGAAGTGGAATTTATTTAAGTTTTAGTGCTAAGATGCAATAGTTAGGCATAAGTTGAAATAAATTAAGTGTTTGCCAAACATTTAGACATCGAATTACATATTGAATATAACGTATATATCTATATATATATATATCTTTTGTAACTTGTGGTATATAGCATATGGTCCCAGCATAACAAGGTTTCCTATTTCTCGAACTGGCCTCCTCCTTTTAATCGCCCTCGGCTATGTAGTGCTCCGTGTTGTCTGGACTGTTGCCGCCGCCGGCGCCGGCGGAGCGTACATTGAGGCTATTGTGCAGCATATTCGCTATGCTGTCCACATCGAGATTCTCATCCGTGGCCGAGATCTTGCGCAGAGCGGAGCAAACGATGCTCAGATCGCCCTTTAGCTCGCTGACCACGGCGGTTATCTTCTGGGCATTGGAGAGAACCTCCACGCTGCTCGTATACGGATTGTAGCGCACGCCAAAGGGACGCTGGATGCTCTCCGCAAAGGCTCTAGAGAGAGAGAGAGATAGAGAGAGAGAGTCGAGGAGGCTATCGGAAGCTGGGGTGTGGAGAAACTTAATGGCCACTTACCGCATTTTCTCCTTGGCCTCCTCGAAGGAGTCTGTGTAGTAGTAGGCATTCTGATAGGATGTGATGATGCACTCCTCCTTGCAGGTCAGCTCCGGATCGAATTTCTTGATCTTGTCCTGTGCCGTAATGGCATGCTGCAGCTCCGCCACAGAGCTGAGCAGACCAGCGCCGTAGACCTTGAAGCTGTTGTCCGTCTGCTTGCACAGGCCAAACTCGACGGTGAAAAAGTACAGCTACAGAGAAGAAAGTTACTTGAAGTGCATTCAAAAAGGGGGAACTAAAGCCCAGCATCGGTTAATTCATTTGAACTCAACTCGGATACTCAAACGAACCAAACGATTCGAGCCGACGACGAACAAGTTCGATCAAACGCAGCTCGAACTGGTCGAACACAGCAGAAATGTTCGAGTTTGAATCGAACTTGTTTAATCAGCTCGAGCTTATTTGATGGGATTGTTTCGAGTATTCAATCGATTCTATTTTTTAGCCACAACTCCAACAGCTCGAACCAAGTTAATTTGAGTCTTGACTCGCTCGATTCTTCGATTATCCGAAACGCGTTTCGATTGACTCGATGCAGGGCTCGTAATTCCAAGCACACCCACCGTGGCCAGCTTCTCAATGTCCGCATCGCAGGCGCCCAGCGAGGCGAGGCCAATCTCCTGGGAGAACTGGGCAAAGCTCGAGTTGGCCAACAGCGGCATGTGGCCCAAAAGTTCGTGACAGCAATCACTGGAATTTGTAACACAATTAACACACACACACACACAATCGCACACACATTCGCACACTTACGGCTCGGGCGTGTAGAAGGGATCCGAGGAGTGCCTTATGTACTGCGTGCAGTGGAACACGCGAAAGGCGAGTCCGGAGAGAAAGTCACGGGGCGAGAGGTAACCTGCCACGGGACGCAACTGGAAGCCCGTCTTGCGCTTCAGATAGCTGCTGACATCCTGCAGCTGCGGCAAATTGTCCTCACGATAGCCACAAAACTTGACCAGCTCCGGCCAGTTCTCCATGTACTCGGGCACCGCGTGCAGCTGATAGAGGCGATGCAGCTCCAAGAAGACGGTGCCCCTGCCACAACAACAACGAAGTTGCAACAACAGCAGCAACAACAACAAGATATCAAATTTCCACTTACCAAGTTTTCACCTCCTCCGGCGTGTACTGCACGCGTGGAATGGGATTGCCGCTAAGAAGAGGAGCAAGAGGCGGAAGGATGTAGCTGAGTTTTAGGGAAGGAGGGAAGCTTACATTCCTGGACTTGGACTTACTGCTTGAAATTGTTGGCTATGGCCGAGAACTGTTCGCGTCGCTTGCGATAAATGGGATCCTTGAAGCCGGGATGGTCGGCATCCAGGTCGGAGCCATACATGAGCACATTCTGCGCCTGATCCAAGTCGGATATCTTGCGCGGAAACCAAACCATGTCACCAAAGTCTGTGCCATATTGGAAAATCAATTTACAGCAGGCAAAACAAATTTGAAATATGCAATTTCTCTTTATGTCCTCTATTTGGAGCTGGATTAAGGGTAGTTTAGTTCTTGATATTTCTATTGAACCGCATTGAAACTAGAAATTCAATTATTTGTACAGTCTTTGCAAATTTCATTCTGAAAGTTATTTTACTATGTTTGACAAGTCATATAATTTTTTATCCTTGTCCGCGCACCCTGTATGTGGTACAGTTTTAGAGTCTCCACTTGAGGCTATGGGTTACAGGTTTAGTTTTAGAGTCACAGCTCAGCGGCCACAGTTGTAGATGAACTGCTTAAGTCCCAGTATTTGAATTGTAGTCTTGAATTTGCGCCTTACCAGTTTTTGAGTCTCGTTGAGATCTTTCCCATGAGTCCCAGCTTAAGAGAAGCTGTGTGAGAAACACAGTTTTGGAGTCACTGTTGAACAGTCTCAGGCTTGGCGTTCTAGTTTTAATGATGATCCTGAACTAATGTCACACTTTGTAGCAGTCCCGATTTGTAAATCCCATTTTTAAATTGGAAACAGAATCACGATTTTGAAATCCCAATTTTATTGTGCGCCGTTTTAGAGTCACAGTTTATGCTTTTAGTTTTAAGGTCGCAGTTCTAGAGCCAAATTTATTGAGTCTCGAAGTTAAAGTTTTCGAGTCGTAATTGTTAAGTGTTGTAGTATTGTGACCTTTTTTAAGAATCACAGCTAAATTTGCCCATCATTGTAATCCCAGTCTTATGCATTCCGTTATAGAGTCCCAACTCTATAGTCCCATGTTTGCAGTTCTAGTTTTAAAGTCCCAGTTTTAAAGTGCGTCTTTTGAGAGTCACAGTTTTGAAGTCATAGGTTTGTGAGTCATAGTTTCGTAGTTGCCGTTTCGGAGTCCTCGTTATGAATAGCCACAGTTTGGAGTCAGAGTTTTGGAGTCACAATTTTAAAATCACATTTGTAGTGTCACAGTTTCGGAGTTACCGTTTCGGAGTCATTGTTTCGGAGTAACAGTTTTTAATAGCCACATCGTTTTGAGCTCTTATTACACAGTCTTTAAGCACGCGTTCTCCCGCCCGTTTGTTCCATGGGAAACAGGGTATCTTACAGGGTATCTCTTGATTTGCTTTTATACATTCTTGCTAGGTTTCAATTCAATTCCATCGAGCATAAGAGACCCCTTTCTCTCTCTTTTTCACTCTCCCTAAGCATCGAAAGGATTTGGATGCAGATACTCACCAAAACTGGAGCAGGCGGACAGGGAAGGCGCCCGGGCCAAAGTGTGCGCATTTACGGACGTATAGTTGACCGAGGCGACCTCGCGATTGAGCATTTTCACCACCTGATCCAAGCGACGTGGATCGCACTCGACATCCACCAGGACGTCGGCCTGATTGCAGGTCGCCTCCACGGGCGACAGCTCCAGGTGCAGCACATTGATGCCCAGCTCCTGGAAGACCTGCAGGGCCCGAGCCAAGTTGCCCACCTGGTTCTTCAGGGTGAACAAAATCGAGATGCGCTCGCCGCCGGCCGCCAGTGGACGCACCGCATCGCCGGGCAGACGCGACGGCTCGGCGGAGCCGCCGTTGCTCCGTTCCTGCTTGTTGGAGGAGGAGGAGAACAATAGAAAATTGTCGCCAGGTGCCGAGGCATGTCGGGCGAGACTTGCATGCGTTGAGGAAGCCGTCGCCGCCGCCGCCGAATCCTTCTTGAGCGTGTGCAGCGGACTGCCCTGTTTGACGGCCCATTCCTGTTCGCCGCTGCGGTACAGCCACAGGCCCAGCAGACTCTTGCCCGATGCGCTCATTCTCATAGGTATATATGTAGGCTAGAAGAAATTGCCCGGTGTTGCCCGGCTCAAATTAATAATGTTGAAAATGCAAGAGACAGCGAAATTGCTTGCGCCCAGTTCATGCACGTAAAAAGACTCTCAAGTTGCACTTACACAGTAAAATTTAACTAACAAAATATTTAAATAATATAGTTTCTCTTCCGTCTACTCGGTGGTTCAAACCCTAAGCTTCATATTGGAGCTCTTAGCCTATTCTCTCGACTGCTTGTGTTCTGCTTTTATAATTATTGCTGCTTCTTTTTCTAGGAATAATAAGAATTGAGATGAACATATATCAAAAATTTAATATTGCTACTTGAGTTGAACCAGCGACTTCTCCCAATGCTCAGACAACCAAGCCAAGCTCGTTGTTCCGACTATTCTTGATGCTCTTAAAAACCTTTTACGAGCTTATAACTTGTTGAATTTAGCAAAACCCTTCCTTTTGCTCACTTTCGACTCAAAGGAAAGTTTCAGTAAGAAATTTCAATCAACTTTCTAGCTTTATTGTCTATGGGTTATACAATCAAGAATAATCCAGTTACTTTTTGGGCTGTGTCCAAATTCACTTTATTTCACTTTTATTCACTTTTATTCACAACTGTAGCACACGCGTCGTATACGCAATGCAAACGCAACGGCAACTGCAAGATCCTGCCACGGCACCAGCGCCTTTTATAGCCAGCCTCGCACACAGCACACACACACACACACACACACACACACACACACACACACACACACTCACACGCACACACACACATACACACTGCCATTAAGAGACATACATATTCAATTGTATTTATCAAGTGTGCGTAGCGAGATAAATTTGTTCAAGGATATAAAAGCTACAAGTGAGTTTCTTTTGCTCCACCTCCTTCTGGCAGGCTCTCTATCTGTCTGTGCGTGTGTGTGTGTGTGTGTGTGTGTGTGTGTGTGTGGGTGTAGCTCGTTTTGATTGGCCAAATCACGCTGAAATCAGGCTACCTCCTAACACATGACGTCATTTCACTTTCTAATCAGCAGCAACAACATTTAATGCGTTAGGAGTTCGAGTTGAACGTTTATTTTATTTTACTATTTTGTTTTCTTTTTTTTTTTTTGTATTTTCTGCTGTCAGCGCTTGACTTTCAAATGCGTTTGCTTAATTTATGCGGGCATGAAATACCGTGAAAGCACTAGCTACGAGCTGTACTTAACCAAATGCAAGACTTTCAGTCGGGAGTAACAATTGATTGGGAAGAACTCGAAACTCAATTTGAAAACGCAGCAACAAATGTGAATTTGAAGCTCGATGCAGTTAAAAAAAATACTAAAAAATAACTTGTTAGGGATTAAAAAATACTGAATAGAGCAGCACTTCGAACTTATTAAGAAAAACTCTACAATCAAAAAACTTTCTCATCATAAATTTTATAAAACTTCCATAAGATAAAAAAGTAATTGAAGTTCTCTTTCTGTTGAGCCCTTACGAGTTAGTTGGAAGAGAACTATAACTCCGAAATACATTTATCCCAAATACCTACAACTTACCCGATGAAAAATACTTTGGATCGGTTATAAATTATTAACTCTTATTAAAGTTTTAAAGGCGAATGCATCGAATCGGTTAAGATTTAGTAAATTCGAGTTCCCCTTCTTTCCAACCAGGCTTTTTCGAGTAGGAAGAATATTATTACTCCTGGATACATTTATTTCAAATTCCTTAATCTTACCCGTTGAAAAAATACTTCTGATCGGTTATAAATTATTTAGTCTTCGTAATTTTATAGAGGAGCGCATCGAATCGGTCAAGTTATAGTAAATGCGAGTTCCCTTTCTATCGAGCTTTTTCGAGTGGGAAGAAAATTATAGCTCCTGGCTACATTCATTTCAAATTCCTTAAACCTAATGAATAGGTACTTAACCCTATTGTTATTATAAAAAGGATTGCAGCGAATCGGTTAGATCTTAGCCAGGGCAAATTCGAGTTTCCTTTCTGTTAAGCATTTACGAGATGGAAGTTTCCAAATCTTATTCGACAAAAAAGAACTTGCGAATCGGTTATAAATAATAATCGCTTTTCTAATTTCAAAGAAGAGGGCATCGAATCGGTTGGGACCAAACCATGAAGAATTCAACTTCGCTTTCTGTTAAGCCTTGTCGTTTTAGAAGAGAACTACTGAAATATTGCGAATCGGTTATAAGCTGGAAATGCTTCAGTCATTTTATAAAGGAGTGCATTTAATTGGTTAGGTCTAAGGTATATTCGAGTTCCCTTTCTAATGATCCCTTACGACTAGGAAGAGAACAATACCGTCTGCATACATTTTGTGCAAGGCCCCAAAGGAAAATCGACGGAACAGTACTGCGAATCGGTTATCAGCTCCTGTCACAAACTTTCACTGGACATCAGCCAAGTCTACGGTATGTGGCATGCGGCATGACGAGGCAACCACTTGATGCGCTTGCCTTGCCTTTGCCTTTGCCTTGCCTTGACAATGTGCTGAAAGTTAGTTGGCGGGCAGAGAGCTTGGGCCCAAGCGGCAGAGTCAATAACAGATAAATGGCAATTTCTTTTGCGGTTCTGCTTCTGGTTTGCTCTGCTTCGCTTTGCCTTGCCTTTGCTTTCGGTTCGCTTTGGGGCACCATTGTTTGCGCTTAGAGAAAAGCAAACAACGGGAGCAGCTTCTGTTTTTAGAGGGTGAAGTCAAAGTTAGCTACTTGTCTATTAAAATATGCGGGCACAGCCAGCACAACACACACGTGCGTGTGTCCGGAGCCGGAATGAGCTGATGTGATAAACGTAATGGCTACTCTTCCACTTTCTCCCACCCCCCTCCCCCCCTCAATCAAAGTGATTGCTGCTGGCCAACAGTTGTGTGATGGATTTATAGCAGATGATTCTTAAAGGCGCCCTTTAAAGACGGCAAGAACAGAGAACAGAGAGCAACAGGCCATTTCTCAAATGAATGAATGAATGAATTGACTGCATGAATGGAGCTTGTGATTTCTGTTGATTTCCGTCTAATTAAGTTAAGGCAGCTTCTATGCAAGGACTGCTCAGCTTCTCGAGAAATAGAAATAACTGACTGTGAGATGAATAGACACATGCACTCTGGCAAACGGCAAAGTACTTTTGCAAGTCACTGTGCCCAAATGGAGACCAAATTCGTAATTTCCTAAGCTGAGCAGAGAACTCTCAATTCCTCATTGAAAACATTTACCTTGAGCACAAATGGAGGACCTCAATCGAGTACTCAAATCAGGAAATACTTCAGTTCGGTTTTCAGATTGGGTTATTTAAGCAAATCTTGTAGCTTGTCAGAGTTGGAGCTACCAAATTTAGGATGTAAGTTCTCTTAAGGTATACAAAGATTGAGTATATTTCACTTTTTCATTCCTGCCCCATTTTTCAACATAGAACCTTACGCTTAGGTATGACTACATATTTGGCTGCCATATTTAGGTCCTACAAATTTCATAACGATCGGATCTCAAACACCGAAGTGAATGAAGAACTAATTTGACTCAATGTGTGGAAAATGGAAGAAGAAGCGCAGCTTTAGAAAAAAATCGAGAATGTTTTTAAAGGCAGCCGGGTTCAGGGTATAGCCTAGTCGGACACTTTCGACTAAAGCTCTCTCGCTTTTTTTTTCTTAACGCCCAAAATTTGAGTTCAAGTTTGTTTCCTACTCAAGTTGCGAATATTCAAGACAAAAATATTTAGCTTGAACTTGGAACTGGATTTTCTCCGAGTGTGTGAGCTTGTGCGAGTCCTAAGATGGACGTGTTAGTGCCTTTCACCCTTTATTCAATCTTCATTAGGCCCGTCGATATACAAGCACAAATGAATTATACTTTCTTTTTCTTCGCACTTTCTCGTTTTCAGCTTCTTCTTTTTTGTTTGGTTTTCTGCGACTACTTATCTAATTATCTTTGGTTGGCAGCCTTTTAATGGCTTCCTGACTTAACTACTTATATATATTTTTTATTGAAATCACAAGTGCTTAAGCTTCAAATGATTTTCGTAAGATTTGCCTGTCGTTGTTATGGGGTATTATTATTATGATTTTTTATTTATATTGTTCTTTTTAGTATAACTTTAAGCTTGGCACAAAATAGGAATTTTTACGTTGGTCTCTGGCAGAGAGATGCCAAAAATTTGTATTTAAAACAACAGGCGAAAAAAAAGTTGGGTGATAATTAAAGAGCTGAAAAGGGCATCTATTGAAAGGCACCCAAAAATGCATATATTTGCAGCAAGAAATATCGAATCTGAGATTAAAGCTTGTGACGTTTGGAAGGGACATAGCTCCTCCCTCTGATCATGGCGTGATAATGTCGTCTTAAAGGGACATAGCTCCGCCGAGAGATCTAAATAGACATACTTTCCTCGGAGTTGTAAAGTTAGATATGTTGTTGAAGGGCGAAAATTATTATCTTGGCATGATCGTGGAGGTCGACTGGGGTTGCGAGTTCGAGTTCAGTAACAGGGAAGCAAATTTTGTATAATTTAATTTAAAATGCTTAAGCAAACAAACGCATCTCGCGAGCTTTATTTGTTGTTGTTATAAGATAATATAGGGTATCTGCTAGTCAAGCCCTTCCGACAAGAGCTCTCTTACTTGTTTTATCTTAAGAATTCTGATAGAAATTGACTGTCAATCGAGGTTTAATATGCATTTATTTGTAGGTATATGGAATCCACCCTCTGGCGCCAGAATTCAAATGTACTAGGGCTTCCATCCGCCCTGGAACGTGCCGCAGTGCGTCCGGCTTGTCCGTCTCTGTTGCAAGCAACAGTATTGCAATTCGCGATACTCACCCCCGAAAAAAGAAATGACTTTTGAAAGGGGAAAGGCGCATGCGTGCAACTTGTCAACCCCCAAATGCAGTTCCCAGCCAGCTCCAGAGCGCTTTCTGCTTGTAAACAAAAACAAGTTGCAAGCGCCAAGAGAGAGAGAGAGAGGGAGAGAGGAGAGAGTGAGAGAGAGAGAGCACTGGAGCATGCTCCTGTCAGCTGAGGCTCGCATAAATTTCCCAGCTGCGAGAGGGCAGACTTTTTAGCTTTGAAGTGGACGTCAAACTGTGCTGAAGTGCGAGCTGAAATCGACGTCAAGGAAATTATTGATTAATTCAGTTTCGTTGTGAAAAAGTGTTTCGGCTGCTTGCGAGATGTTGAATTAGTTGCAAATTCTGGGCACTGGACGCGCGACCACAACAACACACTCTTGAAAACTACCAACCCAACACATAGCTAGACGCCTCAATTTGTAGGCGTGGCAGCTGGACATTCGCGATGGCCGACAGCGAATTCGAGGAGTTCCGCAGGCCCATCTTTGAGCCACATGCCATAAGCAGCACCACATTCGGCAAGAAGAAAACCACACATGCATTTTACTCGTAAGTGAAAATCACTTGAAAAATCAATTGAATGCGGCCGAACACGTGCTCTATATATGTATATATCCATTTGACGGGGGGTCCCCCCCCCCCCCCTATTCCTGACTAACTCCGGACGCAGTCAACCCTCGGGGCAACAGCTGAGGGATGCTGCAGTGTATCCGAAGATTCCTTTGCGTGCTCATACTAATGCATATATAAATATATATACATATGTGCTTGTATATCTGAAGCATTACTAGCAGGTCTCAGTTTTTCCGTATTTTCATTTTCATACCTTGTTCAAGGCTTACTTTGATGATTTATGTTTGCTGTAGAGCTCTGAAAATGAATTTAAATCCAACTTCATCAAAATTAACCTTTCGAACAGACAACCTTGGGCCCACATTTTCCTTCCAAGGCAGCGGATTATACGAAAAGAGTGGAACACATTTTTTATGCATTTTCACAAAGGCTCTTGATAATGATTTTCAAGCCAATCAGATGCAACGCAACAATATTTAATAAAAACAATTTTTCATTCATTTTCCACCCATACGGGTGGAATTTTTCGATGACCTCTTCTCATCTCAGTCAGTCGGTCAATCAGGACAAACAGTTATATATATAGAGATATATTTTTCAATCAATTTTTAACTTATCTCACAATTACAACTTGAACTTCACTTTTTTGCAGTCTAACACCGAACGATGATCTTGAGGATTCGAATTCATCCAAAAGCGATGGCTCCGACCAGGAGGACGGCATTGCCGATAGCAAGCTGCAGCGTCAGGTGGAGGATGATGAGTTGGGCGACGGCCTAAAAGTCACACTCTCCTCGGATGGCTCACTCGATACAAACGACTCGTTCAACTCGCACAGGCATCATCCATTGAATCACCAGGATGCCATTGGTGGCTTCATTGGCATCAACGGGCTGGCCTCAGTTGCTGCTGTCGCGGGGCCAGCTGTTGGCCCAGTAACCAGCACGGAGCAGCTGTTGACACCCAGCGCTGCGGCAACGCGACGTCGCCGCAAGTTGCCGGAGATACCCAAGAATAAGAAATGTAAGTAGCGTGGCAACTAGAGCGCTGCATCGATTAATTCACGAGCAGCGAACTCGGATACTCAATCGAACAGACTCGAGCTACCTATTCTCATATCCAACTAAGCAGTGTTCGTAGAAACGATTCATTAATACTCAATCGAACCAACAGACTCGAGCTACCTATGGGAATAAACGATTCATTAATACTCAATCGAACCAACTAACTCGAGCTCCCTTTTCTCATATCGAACTTAACTGTGTTCGAATTAACGATTCATTAATAGTCAATTGAACCAACAGACTCGAGGTCCCTATTCTCATTCGAACACTGAATAAACGATTCATCAAACACAAACACATTCAAACAAACAAAGCTCGAACTGCTCGAGTCAGCAACATGTTTGAGCTAACAAAGTTCGAACTGCTCGAGTCGGCAACATGTTCGAGCTAACAAAGTTCGATCTGCTATCCTCAGCAACATGTTCGCGCTACAATTAGCTCTTTTGACTCGATGCATAGCTCTGACGTCCAGTCACAAATTCAATTAGCACCCGCATGCCTAGTTAACATTTCCCCCTCGTCCCACGTAGCTAAAGCTAATCTACTCATGGCCTCGTTGCAGCTTCCATTTTGCATATTTTAGGTGGCTCCAATGCCTGCACCCTAGCGGATGAGTTTCGCATGGGAGCAGCAGCTACAGCTACAGCTGGATCGGCAGCTGGAGTGGGAGTTGGGGCGGCTGGCTCCTTGGTGGCGCCGCGTACAAATCAGCAGCGCTCGTTTCTAACGCTCAAATGCGGCTATCTGCTGGACGAGGACTCCAGCCCGGACTCGGAGCGTTTGCAGAGCCTGGGCGATGTGGACAGCGGTCATAGTACGGCGCATTCGCCCAACGATTTCAAGAGCATGTCGCCGCAGATCACGTCGCCGGTGTCGCAGTCCCCATTTCCGCCGGTCTTTGGCGGCGTGCCCTTCGGCCAGCTGGAGATGCTGGAGGCGACACACCGTGGCCTGCACAAGTTTGTGCCGCGACACCATGACGAGATCGAGCTGGAGATCGGCGATGCCATCTATGTGCAAAAGGAGGCCGAGGACTTGTGGTGCGAGGGCGTCAATTTGCGGACCGGCCGCCAGGGCATCTTTCCCTCGGCCTATGCCGTCGATTTGGATTACAACGAGTTCGATCCGACCGTGCAGCTGGTCAAGAAGGAGCGCTACCTGCTCGGCTACCTCGGCTCCGTCGAGACACTCGCCCACAAGGGCACCGGCGTCGTCTGCCAGGCGGTCCGCAAAATCGTCGGCGAATACGGCAACTCGCCCACGGGACAAACGTGCATTCTGGAGGTATCCGATCAGGGTCTACGCATGGTCGATCGCTCGGCCCCAAACGTAAGTCGCGATAATCCTTTATATATATACCAGAGTCTTGCACAAATCCATTTCAAATGACAAAGTGATTTGATTGGAATGAAAATCTTAAATCTTATCCGATTCATACAAGTTGAACGAACAGAAACGCATTCGTTTCGGTTCACAGTAAAATATCAATTGGAATTCCCGCTGCGAACCGATTCGGTTTGTCCAATCAGACTCTCTTGTTTTGGTCTTATATTAAATTCGAAATCTCGCGTGCAACAGTTTTCTTTTTATATTATTTTAAGTTATAGAAAATTAAAATATTTTGAAATTACTTTAGGGTAGCAAAAAGAAACTAGAACAGAAACTGAGTTGAGCACAAGGATAAAAATACTTCGCTTATAATTCGAAAATAATTCGAAAATAATTCGAACTACTTGCAAGAAGTGGGTTAATTCGGAAGACTGCCCGCCTTGTGTGCTTCTTCTTCTAGTTACTTGTTTCTTTTCGTTGGGTTCGTTTAAATTTTCGTTGTTCGTTTGTCCAATTCGAACTTAACGAAGCTAAACGAAGACGGTTTGGGCTTAAGCAATGCTTGTTCGGGTTTTAAAGGAGAAGATTTTAAAAGCAGTTGCTAGCAAATGTATTCGTGCAAAACTCTAGATAGACTATCAATTTCTCAAGCTCTATATGATTGTCTTTGCAAACAGAACAAAAAGGAGAAGAAGCCCTGCATCGATTACTTCTACTCGCTGAAGAACGTGTCATTCTGCGCCTTTCATCCACGCGATCATCGCTTCATTGGCTTCATCACAAAGCATCCGACAGTGCAGCGATTCGCCTGTCACGTCTTCAAGGGCAACGAGTCCACCAGGCCCGTGGCCGAGGCTGTTGGGTAAGCTGTCCATTAATATATAAATACCATATTTGATCCAAACTCAACTACATTCCATTTCTCTCTCTCTCTCTCTCTCTCCCTCTCTCTCTCTCTCTTTCTCAGTCGCGCCTTTCAGCGTTTCTATCAGAAGTTTATCGAGACGGCTTATCCCATCGAGGACATCTACATTGAGTAGAGAGCGCGATCGCGATCGCGATGCTTTAAAGGAAAAACAAACAAAAACAATACTTCAAAAAAAATACCATATATAGTCTATATTTTTTGTGTGATTATTAATATAAATCAACAAAATTGTTTGGTCTTCGTCGAAAAGCTACAAAAACACACACACACACACAAACACAAAGTGAAAAACCTTAAACTTTCAAATAATATCATGCAATAATATTTAAACAGAAAAACAAAAAAGTAAGAAGAAGAATCTTAGACAGCTATCTATCTAAAACTTTGGATAACTCTCGTCATATTTGTTCGCGAAATTCTTCAAATTGTAAATAATTCATTTCGGTTCGTAAAGCACACACACAGAGAACACAGCGATTAGACAATTTAAGTGTAACTTAGAGAGAACCGCTAAAATTCAATTAAAACTCAAATATTATTAAATCGTGACTTCTTATATAGCAATACCGGAATATATATATATATCCATGCACAAACCAGATGATACGCTGTGCTCTTTAAACTTTTTCGCGTCAAATCGAGCTGGTTATAAAATACCTGAAACAAAAATAAACCCACTCAGAGATAAAATCCCGGAACTTTTAAGCATGATCCCAATTTCTTAAACTTGTTTCAAGTTTTTTTTCAACTGTAAGTACTTTATTCTTTATTTATTTACTCAAATTGAAAATAGTTCAATTAAATATTTCTTAGTTCCCTTGGGGAGGTCAGTTAATTTATTTTAATTTAAGTATATGCGAATTTTCTATTTTAAGGCTATTTTACTTTGATTAACAATTATTTTAAGTATTGAAATCCAAGAAAGTTTCTCTCTTTTTCTCTGAGTGTACTGCTTGTGTGGCCAAAGTAGTGTAAGCCTTGAGTTATCAAGAGAATCTCTCGTCTGGCTTTTGTGCAAGTGTTATACGCTATATATATATATATATAGATCGTGTTTTGATTTCTACAGAAGTTAATTTCAACAAAGGCTCACTCGACACGCAAATTTTCTAGTATTATCATATTATTGAAAGCCCAAATCTAAGATGTGTAAAACAATTATATATAAAGACGAATATATATGTACTTATACAGAAAACAAAAGGAAATATATATATATATATATAAAATCGGATTATGTTATATGCTGAAATTAATTGTAACAAGTCGGGTAAGACCGACTAGGAAATGCCCTGAACCTAAACTCTAGAAATAGTTTTCAAGTTTCTTTCTATACATACGCAAAAATTCGACAGTCTTGATTAAGTTAGTGTGTTTATAGTCCGAACTTTATGAAATTTCTAGGGCTTATATTTATATTTGACATATAAAAGTTAGTGTATACCAACGCGCAAGACTTTAATTAAAACGAGTAGGAGAACTCTAATCGGAATTAGCTCCGCCTTTAACCATGGCCAGATTATGTCATTTAAAGCGACAATTGTGTCGTTTTTGTTAAAAGATCTGTTCCGATGTCGGGTAAATAACGTCTGATTTTGGAATTTTATACATTTTTGAATTCGTTCAGTTCCATAATATAAATTGGCCTTCAATTAAATCAAAAACGATGGGTTACAGCGAAGTTGTTGACCGAAAAACGATTCGTTTGAAAAGTCAACCTTTTTTGATGATTTCTGGAATATCTTAGCCAAATAATGTCAGATTTTGTAATGATATACCATTTTGGACTCGTAAGGATCAGTTCTATCGATTGGCATCAAAAAAATGAAAATCTAAATTTTGACCCAAATCAACAAAATGGCAAGGGGTTACGTTATACTTACCTTTTTGAATTCGTAGGGATCCCTACTATGAATCTGCATTCAAACATTTTCAAAATCGATGGGTTAAAAAAAGTGGTTGACCAAAAACTGATTCGTTTGTAAAGTCAACCTTTTTTGATGATTTTTTTGAATATTTAGGCCAAATAGTGTTCGATTTTGGGAAAACGGCAAGGGGTTACATGACGTTTTTTCTCAAATTCGGGGTCGGATCGAAAATCGAAACTTTTTTCATGATTTTTATTGAATATCTCGGGTAAATACTGTCCGATTTTGAAATGTTATACCTTTTTGAATTCATAGGGATCCCTACTATCAATTGGCATTCCAGACTTTATAAAAAGATTCGTTTCTAAAGTCAACTTTTTTTGATGATTTTTTGGAAAATCTTGGCCAAATAATGTCAGATTTTGGAATGATATACCATTTTTGATTCAATTGGCATTAAAAAAATGAAAATCTAAATTTTTATAAATTCGTCCTGACGAGTCCTGTGTCAAACACCTCATATGGACAAGGACTATTATCTGGCCAAAAGACATCAAAATTGTCCTTTTGGTTTCCGAGGTATGTCATTAAAAGGACGAAAATCCTTCAAGGAGTTGAGGAAAGGAGATTGTTGTCTGTAGAGATAAAAGGCTGTAGATCGGCCGTAGCCTTACCTTTCGTCCTTTAGACAGCCTAGATATGAGTAAAATTCTTTCGTAAATTAACATAGCCATAACTCGGCAGTATCCTTGCCGATCCTGACAAGTCCTGTGTCAATCAAATCGTATGAACAAGGACCATAAACTATCCAAAGGACATCAAAATCGTCCTTGCCGTTTCCGATATATAGCCTATTTTCGAAAAAGGACATTTTTTAACTAGCCATAACTCGGTCAAATCCTGAAGGATATCAGAAGGATATGCCTTTTTGAACTCGTGGGAAGCAGGACTATCGATTGGCATTCAAAGATTTCCAGAATTCGACAAAAAAATTCATCGAAATTTATCCTAGGGGGTTAGTCGCAAAATTGGCCAAAATCGAAAATATCCGGGCTAACTCTGCCATTTGAAGGACTATCGGGATGTCCTTTGGCCAGTATATAGTCCTCGCCCTCCCATTTAAGAATTTATAACCCAAAGGACGAAAGTCCTTCAGACAAAAAAGTTTTTAGGACGATTTTGTTTGCATAAAATAAGCCATAACTCGAGCATATCCTTGCGTATCCTGTCGGGTCATATGGCAAAATAATTGTCTTGGCCAGGACTACCAACTGGTCAAATTTCATTAAGATCGTCCTTGTAGTTTAGCAGATATTCAAGGATTTGTGTTTTCGGGCCATTTCCGTGCGCCTCCGGGACTGAAATTTTACAAGTCCAATTTCGAGTCATATGATTCTTAGATGACCCCATTTTTTTATGATGCAGGGGGTCTATACGATCCTAACGCACCATGTCCTTTGAAAATCTGCAAGGACATGCCCGAGTTATGGCCTATTTTCTGTTTTTTTTATAATTATTTATATGTTTAATTTAAATGTGTTTTTATCCTTTCAGACTGCCAAATTAAGGACTTCAATGAGCTCTAAGGACCTTTACGAGTGACAAAGCAGATATTTCCAGGAGCCAACTTTAATTAATTAGCTTAAAAAACAACAATTTTGTAAATTGAAACATAAATAAATCAATTATTTAAAATAAAACAAAGAAATTCCTGTTTTTTTATTAAAAAATTCAAAAATCAACGGTCTTTAGATACCTATTGCATATCCGTGACGTCAGTTTGTTGCCAACCGCTGGCTGCCGAGATTTTTCTTAAAATCTGCCAAAAATACCAGGCGAACAGAAACGCCCAGAAGGTCGACAAAAAATATTTTTTAGCTGCCGAAAAAATTTCGTTGCATACCCAAAAGGGGCGCCCTCGTCGGCGGCTGGGTCCCAAATTTTAGATAAAATTTCCCAAAAGTACCAGGCGAACAGAAATGCCCAGAAGGTCGACAAATAATATTTTTGCGGCCGAAAAGTGACGTAGTAAAAAGGGCACGCTCGCCGCCGGTCCCAAATTTGCCCAAAATTCCGCTCAAGTACGAGGCGAACATAAATGCCCAGAAGGTCGACGAGTGGTTTTAATAAAAATTTCATTGCATAGCATTACGGGGCAAAAATGTAACTCAATTAAAATGAGTACTGTTAAGTAGCAGTTTCTGTAAAATGAGCGCTGTAAGCCGGCTGTTAAACAACAGCTGCAGCTGCAGCTAATTTAACAGGGCTCCTGAAAGAAAAAGCATACATGTTTTTGGACCATTTCAATGCACATTTTGCACAGATCTGATCCTTTAGGTTCACAAGGACTATATCGATGGTATGGCATAACCAAGGATATGCTTGTCAACTAGAAACCATCGAGGGGGCGGGACTGTTGCTGGGGGCGACTGTAAATGAAAAGCATACATATTTTTGGACACTGTTTTGCAAGAACTTGGTCCTTTAGGTTCGCTAGGACTATATCCATGATATGGAATAACCAAGGATATATAGGTCAACTAGGTACCATGATTAGCGATCATTTGCTGACTAAATGTTGTCCATGTCCAATGCTCCTTGCCTTAAGCCAGAGCTCCGCGTAGCTGTTCTGGGCGATGGCCAGCGATTCGGCGCCAATGCCAAAGATGGGCCGAGTATCATTAGCCAGAAGGTGTCGATAATGGAGCAAAGATTAGCTGGCCCACCAGCAGTATGAGCGTTTAGATAATCGTGTCCAGATGTATGCGGAACAGGCAATCGATTAGAAAGCCGCCCAGAGAAAGTACAGCACCACATTAGGCCCCGAGTAGATGGAACAGATGAGCGTAAACTGATTCCGTCGATCGACATAATTATTTGTTGATTATATGTTGACCATATTATGCTGAAAAATACAAAATGAAAAATATATTAGTTTTATATATTAGTTTTTCCGACTTTGGAAAGACATACCTAAGGATTCGTGAGTCTTTAAAATCGACAGAATTCCACAAAATTCATGTAACCATTGCCATTTTGGTCCAAATTTAAATACGATTTTGTTTTGGGTATATCCATGGCATGAAACAACTAAGATCAGCCAGGTGCCAACGTTATTGAATGTTTTCCTGTCTATGGCACATTTAGCTGCAAAATTCCAAATAAAAAATGAATTAGTATTTTGTAAGATGTTAATATCGGTTAAATTAAGTCCGACTTCGGAAGAATATACCTTTTGGGGTTCGTGAAAGTCTTCCAAATCGACATGCACTATAAAAATTTGATTTCAGACCAGACAAGAAATTACAATAAAATAAATACTTTAACATTCGTGACTTCTTAAAATTTTGATTTGACGATTTTTTTATGGCTATTAATACTTCCGAGCCGTACAAGTCCGAAAACGTATACCATGAGAATTTTCACTGATAATATTTTAAAACAGATTTACTTGACTGCTGCCTTTTAACTAAAGCCAAATCATGTTGCGCAGACGCAAAGTGGACAAAAGTCGGCGCACAGCAACTCAAGAAAGCGCCGCTTTCAAAGGTAGATAACGCAATTATACACACGCATAAGTAGATATGAATTGCGAAAACACACACCCAAACATATGCAAAGAGAATATGTACATATGTACATATATATGTGTATATTTGCATTATCTTCTTATTCATCGCGCTCTCATGATTTGTTTGTAAAGTAAGGAGAAAATTACAATAAAATAAACACTTTAAAAGACATTAAAATCGATGGAATTCTTCAAAATTTTGATTTCACTTTTGTTAAACTTTAGAATACGAAGTTTTTTTTATGGCTTTTAATACTTCCGAAACGTAAAAGACCGAAAAAGAATACCATTAGAGATACGGATGGCATTTACTTGAGAATTTTCACTTATAATTTACTCGACAGCTGCGCTTAAACTAAACCAAAATCATGCAAAGCAACTCGAGTGAGCGCCGTTCAAATGTAGATAACGCATAGCCAAGCATACACAAGCAAGCATAAGTAGATATGAATTGCGGGAACACACAACCAAACATACATATGTGTGCAAAGAGAATCGCTAAATATATACACACACATGTATGTGTATACTTGCATTATCTTCTTATCTTCTTATTCTTCGCGCTCTCACGAATTTTTTGCAAAGGAGAAAATTATTTTTTGGTAAACTTTGACTGATATTAATTCGGTTTCGCATAAACACTTTCAACTTTGTGATAATCTATTAAATCGATGGACTTCTTCAAATTATGATTCCACTTTTGTCAAACTTTAGAATATGCTTTTTTTATGGTTATTAATAGCTCCGACCCGTACATTTACTTGAGAATTTTCACTTATACAATTATTTAAAGCAGCTTTACTCGACTGATGCCCTTAAACTATAACAAAATCATGTTGCGTAGATAGTAGATAAATGTCGCAAAGTGGATAAAGGCGGCGCACGGCAACTCGGGTAAGCGCCGTTCAAAGGTAGATAACGCACAAGCAAGCATATGTAAATATCTATTGCGAAAACACACACCCAAACATATGAAGGGGAAGAAGAGAGAATCGCCAAATGTGTACATACATATGTACGTATGTATGTGTATATGATTGCTTGCGCATTATCTTTTTATTGAACGCGCTCTCACGAGTTTTTTGCGAACTACGGAGGAAATTACAATAAAATAAACACTTTAACATTCGTGAAAGTCTATAAAATCGATGGACTTCTTCAAATTTTGATTTTACGATTTCTTTTATGGCTAATAATATTTCCGAGCCGTACAACTCCAAAAAACGTATACCATTAGATATACGGATGGCATTTACTCGAGAATTTTCACTCATAATTTTGTTAAAACAGCTTTACACAGAATCATGTTGCGCGGTCGCAAAGCAACTCGTGTGAGCGCCCTTCAAAGGTAGATAACGCATAGGCAAGCATACACAAGCAAGCATAAGTAGATATGAAATGCGGGAGCACACACCCAAACATATGTATGCAGAGGGAATCGGCAAATATGTACACACATATGTATGTATGTATGTGTATATTTGCATTATCTTCTAATTCATCGCGCTCTCAAGATTTTTTGCGAAGTAATGTGAAAATTACAATAAAATAACCACTTTAATATTTGTGAAAATCTATAAAATCGATGGACGTCTTTAAATTTTGATTCCACTTTTGTCAAACTTTAGAATACGACGTTTTTTGTATGGTTCAAAGGTAGATAGCGCATAGCCAAGTGTACACCAGCATAAGTATATATCAATGGCAAAAAACACTTACCCAAACATATGTATACAGACAGAATCGCCAAATATGCACGGATGTGTGTGTATTTGCATGCAATTGCCTTATCTACTTATGCATCACATCCACAAAATAATAACAGGCTTAATAGACTAGCGCTCGTATCACAACAACATGCCCTGTTGACTAATAGGGCCACACTGACTCAGAATAAAGTTGCGCAGATCCATTAAAGCAGCGCTCAGAAAAGAAAGCACTCGAGCGAGCAGACGAGAACATCGCAGCCAGCAGTTATTGAATGGACCAATCAGTGATCAGCACCAAATAGAGTCGTGAGCGCGTGAGTGCAAGACGAAAAATGACAGCGAACACACACACGAACAGCTGAGCGCGTGAGCGCAAGACGAAAAACGACAGCGAACACACACACGAACAGCTGACTGCTTATCTCTGGCTTTGGTTCATCTCTGCGCACACACGTGTTTGTGTGGCAATGCGGCGCATCTTGTTCACACTCGAATTTTGATCGCTTGCTAATTTTCTGTGCGCCGGTTTTTGCGTTCGCTTGAGTCACTCGCAATTTAACACTCTGTTAATTTGAGCTCATGTTTTTCTTAGGAGCTGCTGACCCGGCGGAGTCTTAAAGGGTATTATGCATATTTTACTTAGCTTATTTAATAGCTGCTATTTTTTAAGAATTGGATTGAACAAAAGAGGAGAGTTTTACCTCCAATTATCAGACGCACAATTCCAGCAGCTAATAATGGTTTTTTATTTTCGAATTTCGAAAATCAAAGTTTTTGTCGAAAGCGATCTGTTGAACTTTTATGATGATTTTTTTTGCATTATCTCGGCTAAATAATGCCCGTTCTTGGAATGATATACCATTTTGGACTCGTAAGGATTAGTACTATCGATTGGCATTCAAAAAATCAAAATATAAATTTCGACTATATATTGGCATTCAATCACATCAAAAAGGGGTTGGATCAAAGTGTACTAACAAAAACGATCCGTATGTAAAGGCAAACATTTTTAAGGATTTTTTGGAATATCTCGGCCAAAATAGTGTCCAAATATGGAATGATAATTTCATTAGGACTTGTAAGTATTGGCCTTCAAAAAAAACATAATATAAATTTGGAAAAAATTTGAAGAAAATGCTAGGAGATACATTACGTTCTTTTCCGGAAATGGGATCGGTTCGAAAATCAGAACTTTTTTGATAATTGTTTTTTAAAATCTCGGGTAAAGAACCTCTCATTTTGGAATGTTCTACCTTTTTGAATGTAATTGAATGTTTTCTAGTCCATGGCAGATTTGGCTGCAAAGTTCAAAATAAATAATGAATTAGTTCTTTGTAAGTTTTGAATGACAAGTAATAATAAACCATGTTTGGGGTATTTGGCTGAAAAAATTCCTCCAGTTATATACATAGAATATCTGCAAATCGATAAAATGTGCAAGGGTAAATAAAAGATATTTGCGTTTTAATAATTTATGTATAATTTCTTCTATATTTTCATATTTATAATACAACTTAGCTTTACTAGTTGGTTGTTTTGTTTGTTTTGTTTGTTTGTTTTATTTTTACAGCATTATCCTTTTTACATATATATCGAAGTGTAGAAATCATGTTCATAATTATTTAACATACAAAAAAAAGTTGGTTTTTGTTGTCTGTTGTTTTTTACGTGTATATATATATGTGTGTGTATATGTATTTATATATTTAGTATGTTACACAATACTTATATATTTGGATTTACTAGGCATGTGCTTAGATTGTTCGTATATACTTATATAACAGCTACCTGAACCGGCAATTCTAGAATTGTTGTTACCTGTTACATTGTTAAACTAGACTAGCACGTCTAGCTCTAATACTAATCCCTAGCACTATATATTTCCCTATGTAGCCCTACGCACTTACAGCCTAACTGTTGCCACCTGTTCAACACCTATATCATATCAATAATAATAATAATATAATAGTCATAATAATAATAATAATAATGATAATAATATAATAATAATTTCATTAGTAATACTTATTGTTTTCCTAGTTTGCTTACAATTCTATTCTTGATGTGTTTTTTTGCTTAAGAAACGTTTTCTTTTTTTTTTGTTTTTTTTCAATTTTAGGCATATTTAAGAGGTTGCTCGACTTATGTTCAAGTATTTATTTGTTTAAAGTTCCGGTTCCTTAGTTTCTATATATATATATATAATGTTAATCTTGTTGTTAATAACTTGATACAAAAAACTTGGTCTGGCTGTCTCGAAACATATGGAGAAGGCAACTGAAGAACTATACGATCTCCACTATTGAATTGTTTCCAAAAACTCTACGTCGTAACAAGTTCAAAGTATATTGCTTCATTTGTACAAAACGGCACCAAAAATATCGTGTCCCTACTTCTTAATTGGAGTTTTGGGTTAATCCCCCAGCCCAATCTAACTTTGTAACTAGGTTTATTTTTTAATGCGAACTGTCCCAGAGTTCCGTCCAATTTCTGTGTTTTAATCTTTGCTTTTAATTGACAAATCGTTTTGAAGGATTTCTGGTCGAGTTTTCTACCCACATTTTTGCCAACTTGAGAAAGTATCAGATCATGCTATCTTACTGGATTGTTATATAGATAAATGTCGGAAAAGTAATCGGATTTGTGCGGCGCTTTAAAGTGTAATTGGATTTTAGTTGCATTTTTTTTGTTGTTGTTTTTAAATAAGGCTTTGTTTTTTTTTTTTATTTAAATTTTTGCTAAAAACTACAATTAAAATTAATAATCAGTATTAATTAATAATTAGGTTAGAACGTAATAATAATTTTAAAAAACATTTCTCGCACACACACACGCATACACGCACACGCACACTCGCACACACACAATTATATACAGTTATATACGTAAATCTCCCGAATATTTCTAAAAATTACAATTTATTTTATTTTTGCTCTGAATATAATTGGAATATATATTTTTGTTTGTTTGTGTATATTTACTTTTTCTCTATGTTTAATAGTTTGTCGTGTTAAATAAACTCTGAACTTGGCTCTATACATAAATATATACATATATATATGTATATATATATATGCATGTATATAGTAGACATTAGCGCGATGTGCTTGAAATTTGTTTGGATTGGGTTTTGGAAAAAAAATTGTTTTGTTTATAGTTTTTCAGGCATTTGAGGCATTTGTCGTCTGGAACTGGAATGCGCAGCACATCGAGCATAGTCTTAAAATCTATATAACATATATATACATATATATATATGTATACAATATATAGTAATATGATCGTGTGTGCTTTTGTCTTTAGAAAATGTGTTTTGCAATTTCGAAAATTGATAATAAAATATAAAACAATAACCATAAAATAATTTGCTTTTCTCATTTTTTTTTTTTGGAGTTTCGACACGTTTACACTTAGACGCTAAAAATACAAACATTTCCACGCGCTTGGGAATTACAATTCAAAAGTGTTTTTTTTTTTATTAATTTCTAGGTTATGTTGCTGTTCGCTTTTTATATATGCACTTAGTTGCGGCCACGCCTCCCCCCCTCCCCCCCTCCCCCACACATTGGCAGCCGACTTTGATTTTCGCTAAGAACTACAATTAATGACTACAGGCTACAACTTTAAGTGTTTTTTTCTTCTCTTCTTTCTTTTTTTCCGATTTTTTTTTTTCGATTTTTTTTGTCGATTTTCTTTCAGTTTTCTTTTTTTTAAACAAATTTTCTGCTACGTTTTATGGTTTATTATTATGCATTTCGCATTTGTTGTTTGTCATTCATTCGTTCGTTTTTTTTTTTGTAATAGTTATTAATAAATAATTAAAATATATATGTGTGTGTGATCATATATATATTTGTATATATATTTTAGCTTTTATGAGTAGGTATTTTATGGAAGTGGGTTAACTAGAATAACGCAACGCGTTAAATAAACCGAGCATTTTACTTTTCTCCTCATTAACTCTCTGATATTTAGGCTAAACATAATTGCGAATTCCGTTTGTTGTTTAACTTTAATACAGTATTTTACATAGTCTAGTCTACAGTTCTATATATATCTATATATATATGTGTGTGTATATATATAAAATTCGCTTTAAAATGTACAATTACGATTTAGTATTTGTTGTTGTTGTAGTTCGTTAAATACGTGTATATATAGTATATAGCACTATATAGCTAATATCTTTTGTGTGTGTGCACAACAAAAACGGGGCGCGCTGGCTGTAAAAGTAGGGTTAGGTTTCGCGTTTTTATAGGTTAGGTTTCGATTTCGATTTTTATAGGTTAGGTATAGATTTGTTTTTTGATAGGTTAGGTTTTGCACTTACAAACTAACTGTACAAGGTCGGGTGGTGTGCTTTTCTTTACAAAATCTTCTCAAAGGGGAGGGGGCAGGAAAATGGGGTTTACACTGAGTAATTGTTTTGGGTTTTGGATTTACTTTTAGGACACTTTGTTGCTGCTGGAAGTGAACGAACTCTGGATCGTTTCTCTCTCTCTATATCTATATATATATATATATATATAGATATATACGTATATATAGCTTGGTCGTAGGCTGGCTTTATGATTATCATCTAACCTCACAGTCTTTTTTCAATGGAAGTAAAGCGCCGCCGCCGCCGCCGCGGCTGCTGCTGCTATTGTTGTTGTTGTTGTTGTTGCCATTGTTGTTATTGTTGTTGTTGTTGTTCGAGTTGCTGTTGCAGGAATTGCTGGAGCCGGATCCGCTGGCCGATGGCAACGAATTGTTGCTATTATCATAGTTGCCCACATTGACGCACAGCGGCGAGCTCGATCCCAGAGCAGCGCCCACCACAGCAACTGCAGCAACAGCTGCTGCTCCTGGTCCCCCTCCCCCTACTCCTCCTGCTCCAGTTCCTCCTCCTGCTTCCGGCAAGGAGGTGGAATCGTGCACATCGGCACTCTTGCTGGAATCGATGATCAGGCAGGGCGGCGAGGGCGTGCTCGCATCCTTGCCCAGTCGCGCCGGCGAGGCATTCGCGTTCTGCGAGTGCGGCGTAAAGCTGCTGTTGTTGGTCAGCGGCGAGGCGGCGACCAGCGGCAGCTCCGCCGGCGAACTGGCCGGAGCGGGCTCCTTGGGTGTCTCCTTGGACTCCGTTTTGGCGCCTATGACATAGACGCCGCCAGCGGAAACGCGCGCGATCTTCAGACGCAGCGGCGCCTCCATCTGCTGCTCCGGCTTCTCCGGCGGCGGCTTCTTTTGCTGCTGCTGGTCGAGGCTAATTGAGGTTGTCTCCGCCTTGCGTTTGTTGATGCGCAGGATTAGCTTGGGCTTCTCGCCGGGCGAGGCGCTGAGCCGGTTCTCGATCAGCGTGGTGGTCATGGTGCTTGTCAGGATATTGCCGCTGCAGCTGTTCATGCTGAACAATTGTTGCTGCTGTTGCTGGAGCAGCAGCTGCTGCTTGAGCCGCTTCTTCTCCTTCTTGTCCTTCTTGGTCTTGTCCTTTTTGTCCTTCTTGGGCTTGACCGTGTGCTGCTGCTGGATCTCATTGGAGCCGGCCGCCGCCAGGTCGCGCTTGCTGTTGCTACTATTGTCGTCGCCCTTGTCAAAGTCCTGCATCACCTTCTTGCGATAGTTCATCGAGTCGCGCTTGATCTCCTCCAGCGTCGGCGTGCTGTAGTTGCTCGTCAGCCGCTTCTTGGGCGGACAGGTGCGTCGCGTCATCTCGTAGCTGTAGCTGCTTCCGCCGCCGCTCCGCTCCAGCTCCTGCTGCGCCTCGCTGGGCAGTCCGCGTATCTTGATCTTCAGCTTGGGCGCCGTCGTCGTCGCCGCAGCTGCCGCCGCCGCCGCAGCGGCCACGGCCGCCTGGTGATGATCATCCTCGCTGCTCTCGAGCGTTTTGCTGCGTCCGCGTCGTTTGCCTGCGCTGCTGGCGGCGCCCGTCTTGCCGTTGTCCGTGGCGCTGCCCGAGCTGCAGGCGCTGCGCCGCCGGCCATCGCCGGCAGCAGGAGCTGCACCAGCTCCGGCAGCGCCGCCTCCCTCCTGCTGCTCCTCGAGGCTTGCATTGGCGGCGTCCAAAGCTCGCAGCTCCCTGTTGCTGGAGTTCTTCTTGAAGCGCTTCGCATTGCCGCCCGATCCCGATCCCGTTGTCGTCTGCTGCTGCTGCTCCTCGTCCAGCTTGTCGAGCTTCTCGAGCGGCAGGCTATCGGAGGCCGCCGGCAAGCCGCAGGAGCTGTCATCGTTCAGCGTATCCTTCTGCACCACATACAAGCTAAGCAACTCCTTCTTGCGCATGCGCCGCGAATTGCCGCTCACGCTGAGCGCCGCCGCCGAGGAGCTGCTTCCGCTGCTGGCCACAGTGCTGGCCGTGACCGTCGTCTGGACCTGCACCTGCGTCTGCACCAGGCTGCTGGCGCCGCCCACTCCGGTGGACAGCTGGCAGCTCGTTTGCGTCACGCTGCTGTAGTGCAGATCCGGATAGGCGAGCGGCCCTTTGATCTTCAGCTTGAGCTGGTTGCGCGCATCCGAGAGGGAGGCCTTCGTGTTGAGCATTGTCGTGGTATCCGAGTCTATGGACACCTCCTCCGAGGTGGCCTCCAGCGAGGCCTCCAGCGCGGCAGCAGCCGCAGCAGCAGCAGCAGCGGGCAGCAGCTCCGTGAGCAGCGTCGCCTGGTTGGCCTCGCTCGAGTGGAGCAGCAGGCTGCTCGGCGTGGCAGAGACACCTGCTCCAGCTCCTGCTCCAGCTACTCCTCCCGCTGCTGCCTTGTTGCCATTGTGATTGTTATTGTTGTTGTTGTTGTGATTGTTGGAGCTGCTGCTGCTGGTGGTGGTGCCGGTGGCCCGCAGCGCGGACTGGAACTGTCGCTCGTCCTCCTCGTCGAATTCGCTGAGTGTCTGATCCGCGGTGCCGGAGTCGAAGGCGCCCAGCAGATTGTTCTGATAGGCCTCCTGCGAGGCGCTGCTGTGCGGCGCCTCAAAGCCCAGATTGTAGGTGCGCATATCGACCGGGCCGGGCAGCACGGGCTGCAGCAGCGGCGCGGATGATGCCGTCCCGGACGACGTCGTCGACGTCGTCGTTGCCGTCGTCGTCGTCTTGTTCTGGCCGCGCAGCTTGCAGCTGGCGTAGCTGGTGCTGGGCTCGAAGCTGCGCCGGCGATCCCGCAGCGACTGCAGATTCTCGACGCCGGAGCCGTTCAGCTCGTCGTCGTCGTAGTTGTTGAACTCGTACGGCGTGCCCACCAGATTGTTGACAATGTGCGTATTGCTGCCGTAGTCCGACATCGGCGGCGCCAGCGGCAGCATCGCGTTCGCTGAGCTGCTGCCCCGCCCGCGACCGCGTCCGCGTCCACGTCCGCCGCGTGTGCCCGCTGCAGCTGAGCCGCTGGCGCTGCCTCGCGGCGCACGCTGTCGCAGCTTGCCGGCGAGCGTGTGCGTCAGTGGATCATATTTCGCCGGCGGCGCCGTGGGCGTGGCCGTGGGCAGAGGTACGGGCGGCGGCGGCGGCTGCAGCGCAGCGACAGCGGCTTGTCTAGGAGATTTGCCGGGCGACTTGCCCGGCGGCAGCTGCGGCGACTTCTTCTGCTGCTGCTGCTGCTTGGAGGAGCTGCTGCTGCTGCGTTTGGTGGGCGAGATGAGCTCCTTGCTCGGCAAGGGCAAAGCTGCGGGCGCGGGTTGAGGCATTGGCTGAGCCAGCACTGGCACGGGCACCGTCTCCAGCTGCACTGGCTCCAGTTGTTGTTGCTGCTGCTGCTGCTGCTGCATCATGGCGGGCAGCAGGGCGGCGGCATATGGCGGCGTCAGCTGGTACTGCTGATGATTGGGCGTTAGCGTCATATTGGGCGTGGCATAGGGCGTGCTCACATACGGCGTGCTCGGCTGCGAGCTATTGCCGTAAATCGATTGCGTCTCCGACGGCGTCGACTGTTGCTGCTGCTGCTGTTGGATGATGGCCGCCAGCTGTGGATAGATGCCGCCATTGTATTGGCTATTGGGCGTCCTTTGCGACTGCTGCTGCTGCTGATGGGTGGGCGTGGTCGTTGTCTGCTGCACGGGTCTGGCTGGCTGCTGCTGCGTCTGGTTGTTGTACATGGACATGGCATCGATGCCATTGACGAGCGGCGTATGGCTGCCAAAGGCGCCACTCCCACTGCCACTGCCACTCCCATTTCCGCTGCCTGCTGCAGTTGCTCCAATTCCAGTTGCTCCCGTTCCCGGTCCCCCCGTTGCGTAGCTATTGAAGTAGCTCTTGTCCAGGCTGGGCGGTTGATCGTTCGACTCGGACACGGAGCTGGGCGAGCTGCTGCGTCTCGCCGCGATCAGATCGTTCTCGTTCCAGCGCTGCATCCGTCCAAAGGGCGACTGCATTCGCGTGTTCTCATCGTAATCGCTCAGCTTGTTGTTGTTGTTGTTGTTGTTGTTCGCCTGGGAATTATTGGATGCGCTGGAAAGGCTGGAGTTGATCTGGGCGGGCGGGAGAGCGGCGCCGGCTCCTGCTCCTGCATAGCTGCTGCTGCTGAGGCTGTTCTTGACAGCTGCCGCCGCCAGATCCACAAAGTCGGGCGTGGACTGCGGCGCTCCTCCCATTGCTGCTCCTCCCATTCCTGCTCCGCCTCCTCCTCCTGCTCCCTGACTGCCCTTCTGCTGCAGCTGCGGCGATGTCTTGTTCAGATAACAGCTGAGCGCCGCCTGCGCCGACTGATAGTTAACGCTGCTGTAGCCGCCGCCCAGATTGTTCGTATTCGTTGTGGGCGTGGCATTTGGAGTATTTGTCAAGCTGTTGGCATAGCTGCCGCCGGAGTTGGCCGTGAGCGGGGAATCCTTGATGGTCAGCTGGCTGGCCACCGAGTTGGGCGCCGAGTTGCCGAAGATTAGGCTCTGCTGTAGCGCCGCCTGCTGCTGCGCCTGCTGCATCTCCTTTTGCGCGTGTATCAGATCCTCGGGATCGGCGGCATTGTGAAACGGAAAGACGGAGGGAATGGCCGGCGTCGGTGGCAGCAAGTCGTCCATCGTGTCCTTGCACTCGTCCAGCTGCGCCTTGCGCTTCGTCTTGCGCAGCTTCTCGACCAGATTGCGCGTGGCCAGCGTGCTGTCCTCCTCGAAGATCTGCCTGCTCCCGCCGCCGCTTAGGCTGGTGCCGAGCAGACTTGTGAGGCGGCCCGAGTTGGGCGGATTGAGCACATTGGCCACGCTGCTGGCCAAGCTGGACACATAGCTATTGGCGTACTTGCTGTCCTCCAGCTCCAGGATGGCGTCCACAATCGGCTGATGTGCCGCATCCAGCTCCAGGGCGCTGCACGAGGGCGTGGCTGGAACCGATGGAACCGATGGCACCGATGGAATCACCGGCAGCAGCGACTCCTGCTGCGCCTGCTGCTGCTGCGATTGCTGCTGCTCTCCAGAATTCGAGTTCGAGTCCAGCTCAATGATCTCTGGCGGCTCTGGTGGTATAACGGTAACCGCTGGCGAGGATGTGGATGCGGAATATTTGCTAGCATTCGCCAGGAGCTCATTTTTGCGCTCCTCCTCCAGTTCGCGGGCCATTTCCATTTCGTTGAGCAGATGCTGGGTGTGATGCGTATGCTCCTGCTCCTCCTCATCCTCGTCGCGCGTCCGTCTTCTTCGTCGGCGGTGCCATCGATTTGCGCGTCGCCTGTCCGATCTGCTCCGATCGCTGCCGGCCTCCTCGTCGTCGTCGCTCAGCTCATCGTTGGAGGGCGTCGGCGTGGGCGAGGCGGGCAGCGGCGCCGCCGGCGGTCGCTCATCGATGTCCGCTGAGAGTTCCGCCAATTTGCTGGCATTCGCCGAGAGCTGGGTGTGCGTCGGCGCCGTCGTTAGCTCCTCGTCAATGTCCATGGGCTGCTCGCCGGCCTCCTGCGCCGCATCCGGCAAACTACTGACCAAACGCTCCTCCTCCGCTGCCGGCTCCGGTTGAGGACTTCGCTTCGGTGTGGGAGCCCGTGTTATTGTGGGCGTGGTCGTGGGCAAAGGAACGGGCGCGGGCACGGTTGCGGTCGCGAGCGTGGCATTGTTGAGCTGCTGCTGCTTCTTGTCGAGCAGCTTGTCCAGCGCACCCGTGGCCCGTCCGCCGGTCGCCGCCTTGCGCTGCGCTATCTCATGCTCCAGATTTGGCGGCGTTTTCTTCGGTGATTCCGCGCGAGATTTACGCCGATTGCTGGGCAATTTGTCGGGCGTCGGCGTCGGCGCCGGCTTCGGCAGGCTGACTACCGCCGCCGGCGAGGGTGGTCGCGATTTGGAATTGCGCGTGGCACGTTTGGACAGCGCCGGTGACGCATCGTCTAGCGAGGATTTGCGGCGCTGCGTTGCGGGTTTAGGCGCCGGCGCCGGCGGCGGCGTCACCAGCTCGAGCGCAGGCGCGGGCTGCGCTGGCTTTTGTGGCGTTCTCTTTGGCGATTTGTTGGTGGAATTCTGACGCGTTCGGCTGGCCAGCGGAGGCGGAGGAGGAGCAGCTGGTTTGTCCAGAGATTTGCGCGGCGAACGCTTTGGCACACTGGAGCTGGAGCTGGAGGTAATGGCTGCTGCTGCTGCTGGAGCTGGAGCTGGCGCTGTCTTGCGCTTCTCCGGCTCGCTGTCGCTGTCGGAGTCGCTGCCGCTGCTGGAGTTGCTGCTGCTGGAGTTGCTGCCGCTGCCGCTGCTGCTGTTGCTTTCGCCGGAGCTGGAGCTGGACAGATTGGGCGCGGCGATGCGTCGCTTGACGGGCGTCTGCTCCTCCTTGGAGCGTCGCAGCTGCGAGCCGCGTCGCAAAGGCGTCGTCTGCTGCTGCTGTTGCTTGGATGCAGCTGCTCTGCTCGGGGGCGTCGTCGTCGTCGTCGTGGTGGTGGCTGCAGCTGCTCTGCTTGGCGGCGTCGTCGTGGTGGTGGCTGCAGCTGCTCTGCTTGGCGGCGTCGTCGTCGTCGTGGCTGCGCTCGTTCCAGCTGCTGCTCCGGCTGCGACTCCCGCTGCGGCATCCTCACTGGCAACGGTTTCCTGTGTGGCTTTGGCCAGGGCTGCGCCGCTGCTCTTTAGCTGCTCGGCGGCCTTTTTGGCTGCCTGTCGCTGGGGCACATATGAGACGGCAAAGTTGCCCAGTTTGGCCAGCTCGTTGTTTTTGGGCGTGGCGGCGGCGGCGGCGGGCGTTGGCTTCTCCTTCTCCTTCTCCTTTGCCTTTTCCCGCTCTCGCTCCTTCTCCTGCTCTTTCTCCTTTTCCTTCTCCCGCTCCTTTTCACGCTCCTTCTCCCGCTCCTTCTCCTTCTCTTTCTGCTGCTTGGGCGGTCGCCCGCGCTTGCCGCGCTCCGCTCTGGTCTCGCCCGTCGTTTTGGCAGCCGCCTTGGGCAGCTCCTTGGGCCGCGACTTTTCCGCTTCATCCTTTGCTTTGCTGCTGCCGCTGGCTGCCGCATTGGCTGGACTTGGATCGGGCTCGCGCAACCGCTCGCTGGCATCCGGCAGCAGCGCTGCTGCGAGATTCGTGGAGTTGCGCATGTTCTCGGATGCCTTTTTGGCCGCCTGCCGTTGCGGCACGACGAGCAGATCCACGGCCGGAAAGACGGGCGCGGCGCTGCTTTTGCTACTGTTCGACTTGACGTTGGCTTTGGATTTATTTGTTGCTGCAGTCGCCGTCGCCGTCGCAGTCGCCGCAGCTGGTGTTGTGCCCGGCACGAACTCCTTCATGGCCGCCTTGGTGCGTATTGTCTGCTGATTTTGCGAATCGCTCACATTGCTCTCCGCCGCCGCCTGCTCCGCCTCGGCCTCCGTGCGCCGCTGCTCCTCGGCCGCGTCGCGCTCCGGCGTCGTTGACGTGGACTCGCTGTCCGAGTCGGAGTAGATGTGCTGTCCCATCTTGCGCATGGCCGACGTCGCCGTCGTCGCAGCCGTCGCAGCTGTCGCAGCATTGCCTGCCGTGGCGCTTGTGTTCCGGCTGTTTGTTGTTGTTGTGTTCCGATGTGCCGCCTGTCGCTCGGCGAGCTTTACAGGCAGCAGCTCCTCACTTTCATCGCTGGACATGCTGCCCGCGTCCTGCTGCCGCATCTCCTTGTCCATCTGAGCAAGGCCACGCGTCGCTGTCGGCGCTGCACTGGCTCCACCATTGGCTCCACTGGCCGCTTGTTTTCTGCGCGCTGCACTTGCTCCCGCGCCGGCTCCCGTTGCCGCTCCTCCGCTGTGCTTTGACTTAGTTGCTTGGCTTTTGGCAGGTACTGTTGCTGTTGACTTGTGGACACGCTTGACACGCTCCCGCTCCCGTTCTCGCTCCCTTTCCCTTTCCCTGGCCCTGGCCCGTGCTCTCGCACGGTCGTCGTCATCGTCGCTGGAGGAACTGCTGCAGCTGGTCCGCGCATCCGCAGACGCTGCAGACGCACACGCAGCAGCCGCCTCACTTTGACGCCGCTGTCGCTGCCTCTGCCGCTGCTCGACGCTGCGCGCATAGGATTGCTTTCTGACTGCAGTTCCCGCTCCCGTTGCAGCTGGCTGAGATTTGTTGCGGTAGCCGCGGCTATCGCTGCCGGAATCACTGCCACTGCCGCTGCCGCTGGCGCTGCCGGAATCGGAGGAGCTGCTGCTGCTGGCGCTGGCGCTGCTGCTGGCGCTGCTGCCGCGCGGCGAGCTGGAATCAGCCGATGATGAGCTGCCGCTAGACGTTGGGGCGGACGCAGCCGTTGTGGATTTATGTGATTTATGCTGTTGGCTCGACGTCGCCGTCGTTGCCGGGCCGCTCTTCGAGGCACGCCTCCCCGCACACGGCATCGCCGTGGACGCCGTTGTTGTTGGCGCCCTTGGCGAGCCACGTGGCTTGGTGTTGTTGGGGGCCTTTTGGCCCATTGTTGTTGCTGTCGCTGTTGTTGTTGTTGTTGTATTTGTTGTTATTGCACCATTGTTGAGCTTCTTTTTGGGCGAAGACTTGAGCGCGGCAGCCTGCTTGCGCTTGTTGGGCGACTGCGAGGCGCGTCCACGTGCCTGCTTCTTGCCCATCAGCTGCTCCAGTATATAATCCAAGCTCTTATACTGCGCCGGCACAGTTAGCTGATCCGTTGAGCTGTAGAAGCTATCGTACAGCGTTGGCCCATCGTTCGCATAGATAATGGCATCCGTGTCCAGGGCGGGTCGCTGTGGCTGCTGCTGCTGCTGCTCCGTTGGGCCCAGCTGATGCTGCTGGTGCTGCTGCTGCTGCACTGCCTCATCGAGCACGCCGAGCTGCTTGTAGAAGACCTGTTCGCGCAGCTTGAACAGCGAGCGGGAGAGCTTCTCGCGCCTGCTGACCATGTAGCAGAGATTGCGTACACGCTCCAGATCCTGGCGCAAATGCACGACCAGCTTGTGATTCTCCAGATCCTGTTGCTCCTGCTTGCGGGCCAGCATTTCCACATCCTCGGACTTGGGCGGTATCAGTTCGCGATTGTGTCGCGACTTGCGCTTCAGTTTCCAATAATTGTAAATGGCCTCAATTGCATCCTCATCCACATCGAACAAATGGCAGCTAATGTCATTGATATTCACGTGCTTATCAAACTCCGCCTCAACCTCCTGCGGCAATTGAAACAAACCAAAATTGTTTAAGTATCAAGAAACGCAGCATTCAATTCCAAATAGATCCCTGCATCGTTTCATTTGCTGTGCATCAAACTCAGCTACTCAATCGAACCGACAGACTCGAGCTTTCGAACATCGAACTCCGACATGTTCGAAGCAACTTTTCACCAATCCCCAATTGCATTCATAACAGACGAAGTTCGAGCTGACCGAGTCAGCAAAATATTCTTTGTGTGACAAGACGTTTTTAAAACAAGGCTCCAACCAGGTTTGAAGCGAACTGGATCGGACTCCGAATTAAAAACTTACTACTGAGTTAGCGAAATATTCGGCCTAATGGTTAGTTTGTTGTGCGACAAGATGTGTATGCATCCAGGTTTGATCCGGAATTATAAGTTAACTTTTGAGTAATTGATATATTCGGGCTAACACGACAAGACGTGTATCCAAAAAAGGTCTCCAACCAGGTTTGAAGCGAACTGGCTCCAACTCTGAATCCTAGTTTAACTTTTGAGGGAATCGCAGCCCCAAAGCATAAATAACTTGAGCCATAATAATTAGATTTATGTAAGCATTTTTGGTAGATGCCAGTTTTGGGTAGAATTTAACTTCACTATGAAAATATGTATTGCAATATTTTCGCGCATTATATGCATTATTTTCACTAGAACGGACACTTTTAAATTGAAAATATAAGAGTTTAACTCTTATTTTGAAACTATACGAGACACCAAGGCTCAGCCTGGCTTTGAGGATGTGAAAACCTTGTTCACGAATCGAATTTCTAGCCAGGTAGTCGGATTGTTCAAGCCTCTAGCTAAACAAAATCTAGCCTTGATTCGCTCGTTCGAAATAGTGGTTCGATTTTCGATTGACACGATGCACGGCTCTAATTAAAAACACCATCAAAATTTACCTGCAAACGTAGAGCGCGCGCCTGATTGCGCTCCTCGGAGGTCATATCGTTTTTGCGATGCTTTTGGCGCCTGCGATGATCTTCGCCCTTGCCGCCCGTTGTTGTGTGGCCCGCGTCATCGCCCGCAGCTGTCGCACTGCTCGAGAACTTGTTGTTATGCTTTTGCATGCAGCTGGAAGCGGCTGTGTGATGACTGGATGACGCGCCCTCCTTCTTGCCCTTGCTCATGCTGTGCTTTTGGCAATAGGAGCGCAGCTTGACACCGTCCTCGGCGTTGCCCTCCTCGATAATGGCACGCATCTCGAGGCCATGCTGAAACGCACAGGTCACATGATAGGCCGTCTTGCAGGTCTTCACCGAGCACTGTATGCAGCTGCCCACGCGCTCGCGGCACAGCACACAGATCAGTGCCCAGCGACTTTGCGGAATGCTTGAGATTTTTGTTATTGGCTCCATGCGATCGACACATCCAATGCTCACTTCCGGTATCCACAGGGCACACGAGACATGCGCCCAATGCTTGCCCGATTTATTGGACTTCATGGCGCCGCCCTTATTCGGACAGAGCACACACTCCGGCTTGATGCCCATGGAGCAGGTGCGACATAGCCATTGGCCTGCAAGACAATTTGTTTATTGAGTAATAGAATTTCATGGATGTTTCCGGAGCTGGATTACCTGATGGAATCGCTGTAATGCCGTAACAAGCCTGATGCACGCAGATGTTGCAATTATCACAGAATACCATTTCGTTGGCCTCCTCGGAGTCGGGCGAGCGACAAACGTCACATATAACGTTCTCATCAAACTCAATGCCCAGACCCTCCTCCTGCTTAAGTATGACCTGAATTTGCTCCCAACAGCGCACCTAGAAAATGTTTTAAATTAGTTTTGCCGGTTGCTTTTGACCTATTATCTAGCTTTAGCTAACCTCCAGCTCCTCGATGACGCGCTCGAACTGCGTTTCGTTAATGGGAAACGCGCCGCACAGGGCACGATCGCCATTGTATAGACGCAGCCAGGCCTCATCTATGGGATCAATGTCATAGGCACATGTGTTCTCCGCCAGTGCAACTACATTCGTCAGACAATGCAAGTCCGGCGAATAATGTTCGTCTTTGGTGATGCGCAGGAAACGATTTTTTGGACTGCAAAAGACCAAATTATATCAAATATTCAACAATATAAATTAATATATATGGCCTAACTATTATTTAATAATTATATTTTAGTAATTATATATTATATAATATTATATATATATTATAATTTGTCCTGACTTTTGATCTATCAACAGCACAAACTGTGCGAACTTCGAAGCTGAAGCATTTACTAAAGCTTTCTTTTGGTTCAAAAGTGAGAAAACTCAAGATTCAAGATTTTTTATATAAAAGTTAAGATTGTATAAAAAACATCAAGAATGCAAACATATAATTGTGCTTTGCGAACGTGACATCAGAAGCCTGCGTGGCTTAGTTGTCTGGGACTAACGAGCGGTAGGTTGCCGGGTCAAATTCAGCAACAATTTTTGAAGTTAATACATGTTTCTAATTTGCTATTATTCACAAAGACGCTTCAATAAATATATAAAAAAATAAATGGAGCGCAGAGAAGAGCAAATCAAAATAAATTGATCTTTGACGCATATAAAAATTGTAGTAATAGAAGGAAGAGTTTGAATAAAATTGTGAATATGCTCTATCATTTCTTATCAGGATATATTCCTGTATTTTGTATGCTATTCTTATTTGTTCGAGTTTAGAAGAATGCCTGGGATAGGAGATTACATCTAAGTTAAGAGTTTGTCTTCTTCACCAGGAGTGTTGCTCCGCGTCATCATATGACTACATTACTTCGAGATATCTATTTGGCGAACATCTACCTTAGCCGGAGCACAATAATGTGGAGCAGGACTTGAATGCTGACAAGCTTTTACTAGACATTATAGTTGTCGTTTTCTTTTCAGTTAAATTCTTCCATTTCACGCTCTACTCACAGTTTAAAGTCATGCGCTGGCGACACAACCGGCTCGGACAGCACATAGACACACGGCTCGGGCAGCGAATCGGGATTGACGGGCACCTGTACGCCCTTCTCCCATTCCTGTTTCCATTGATCGGTTACAATCAGATACTCGTAGTTGGCCAACGGCTCTGAGTCTGGCAATTTCATTGCGCTAATGAGATCCTTGCTGCAAATTTAAGAAAATCTAATGAGTTTCCTAGATCAGGCTCAAGTTGTGGTTTATACGCACCGATACAGTTCAGCTGGCGCTTCGGTGGAGCTGCGATTGTAGATGCTCGACATTTTGATATCGGCCACGGAGCGCGCTTGCCAGGTGCTGCTGCTGCTGCTGTTGTTGTTGTTATTGTTGCTGTTGTTGTTGCTATTGTTGCTGTTGTTGCTTTGCGCTTTACATTTGCTGGCCGACTTGGCCTTGCCCGGCAGCTTTGACGTGGACTTGGCCTGGCCGTGTTCCGCTTGTTCCAGCGCTGCAACTGTTGCTGCTGCTGTTGCAGCTGCAACTGTTGCTGTTGCAGTTGTTGACGCTGCTGCTGCTGCTGTTGCAGTTGTTGACGCTGCTGCTGCGGCTGCTGCTGCGGCTGCTGTTGCCGGCGCACCATTGGGCGGTCGTCCTTTGCGTCGCTTTGTGGGCGGCGGCTGCGGCTCAACATCTTGTCGCAGCTGCTGTTGCGGCGGTTGCTGCTGCTGCAGCTGCTGCTGATTACCGCGTTTACCTCTTTGTGACATTTTTCATTGGTGTTGCGTTTTGTGTGTTCTTTAACTTTGTGTGTATGTATATGTTGTTGTTGTTGTTGTTGTTGTTGTTGATGGGTTTGCCTACTGGAACCTGCTGCTGAGAGGTTCACCTAGACCGCACGCGTTTGCTGCTCGACTGTGCCAAGTGCGACCTGTAGATGGTGGGTTAAGGTGAGGTGAGGGGAGGGGTAGGTTTATTAGCAAAATGTTTCAAATTGTTGCATCAATTTCTTACTACATGCTTAAGGCCACAATTGGCGACACCACAACCACACCGCCGGCTGTTGTTGTTGCTGCTGCTTCTGCTGCTGCTTGTTGTTGTTATAAATTGTATTGTTATTATTGTTGCTGCTGTTGCTGTTGTTGTTGTTGGTATTTTTGTTGTTGTTGTTGTGCTGCTGCTGCTGCCGCCCGTTTAACATGGACGCCGCTGCCGCTGCACCAGCACTAATCCCGAGTAGCGCCGCCACTTTGCAGTCTGTGCCGTGCACTGCTCAGAGCAATAATGCGCGCTGCCGCTGCCCCTCCCCGCGTTTGTTTTCGCTGTGTGTTTCGTCTGTTTCTGCGTTCTTCTTCACTTGCGTATTTTTGTTTTTGCACGCACCTTGTGTGTGTTTTTCTTAAAGTTTTCTGCTCACTGCGCGTCTAAATAGATAGCAGTTCATAAAATTTACATTTTCAACTACCAATTTTCGTTTTGCAAACTTTTTTGTTGTACATTTTCTATGCGCTTTTCGTCACAAAAAATACACAAAAAAGAGAAAAAGGAAAAAAAAAAACTGAAACTGAAACTGCCAGTGCAAAGGAAAAGAGCAAAACGCGTTTGCTAAACAAAAGCTGAACGCTTTGCAACGCAAACATTAAATGCCATCCCAAAATCAATCTATCTCGCACGCTCGTTTTAAGGGCGCGCGCATTTGCGGCACTGGTGCGAGCGAGATAGTGTTGGCGTGCGTGCTGCAGCCGTCAGCTTTTGTGCAAACGTCTCTTCCGCTCCTCAGCGCACTGCTCCCCCTCTCTTTCATACACACATTCGATTCGACGTTTTTGCACCTATTTTTTTTTTCTTACTTTTTATTGTAGTAATATTATTTGTTTTTGGAAATTGCACATTTTTTGAATGTATTTGAAATGATGCCCGTGCCCGCTAGTTGGCATTGTCGCCACATTTGTTGCTTTGTTTGCCTGTTTTGGTTGTCGCGTTCGAGCGAATTTTGATTGGGATATATTACTCTCTGGGCTTTGCTTTTGCCGCCGCAGACACACACGCGAGCACTTGCTAGTGGTTAAAATGGACGTAGCAAATTAATTGCACGTTACGTTTATTATGCACTCGCGTTTCGCGCAATTGGCATAATGTTTGCGACAAATATGCAATTTTTTTACGGATTATTTACAAGATTTTCTTCTCGGTTTCCTTTTCTACGTCTGCCATTTTGCTTTTCGGCTTATCGATTATTAGAGCTGTACCGGAATCGATTATCGATAGCGTCACTAGTTTATGCTAGTTCCTAATTTCAAATTATCGAAACCAGTTTCAGCCTTTGGCTCCGGGAACCGATATTGCTAGCAATCACTACTCACTCATATTTAATTAATAATTTTTCGTTATAGAAAAGCCAGTCTATGCTTAAAAAATCAACAAATTTTCATATTTGTGTGTGCGTTATATATTGTTGTCAGTTAAGCCGCCTGTTGGCGGCTCATGAGAATAAACCTGGAGCTCCGATGTCCGCGCCGATGTCACTTACAATTGGTTATCGAATGAGAGTCAACCACCAACAAAAAGCAGCAAAGGAAGAGAATACAGAAGCGCAAAAAAAAACAGTTTGCACAAAAGTTTTTTACATTATTAAATAATGTAGGGAGAAAAATTAGTAATTGCGACTTATAGATTTAACAAACGATAAGCTTATAGAAAAGCCCGTCCGCACACACGCAGCCTGGCATTAAGAACAGCGCCAAATGCAAATGCATTTCTTTGTCTGCAGTTTGCTAGAATAATCTGTTTTCCGAGTGATTTTTTGAAACGAGTGCACGACGCAGTGCCAACTAAATAAATTCCGAGAAAATGTCAACAACTCCAAATTCGAATAGTAGTGCAAGTAGTAGCAACAACAACAACAACAACAATAGCAACAGTAATAAGCAAAAGCAACAACAGCAACAACAACAACAGCACGACACATACAGCGACAGCAGCAGCATCGAGGAGAATCTTGAGGCTGCCGAGGAGCGCAGACGCCGCATTCTGAAGAATCGCAGTCGCAGCAGCACCTACATGCAACGGCAGCAGCAGCACCAGCACAGCGCCATGAGCGTCAGCAGCGGTGCCATCTCCAAGCATGACAAATCCATGACGCCCACCACAAGCAGCGCTGCCGCTGCCGCCGCCGCTGCTGCAGCGGCTGCTGCTGCTGCTGCGGCGCGTCTGGGCCCACCCGAGCGCATCTGCATGCTGGTTGACGGTGTGCGTTTCACCGTCGAGCAAACGCTGCTCACAGCCCATCCAAATACCATGCTGGGCACCATGTTCGGCACAGGGTTTCAGTGTGTGCATCCGAACGAGCGCGGCGAATACGAACTGGCCGATGGCATCTCCCATTTAGTATTCCGCTCCATACTCGAATACTACAAGAGCGGCGTTATTCGCTGCCCGCCCACTGTATCCGTGCCGGAGCTGAAGGAGGCCTGCGACTATCTGCTTATACCCTTCGACGCGACCACTGTGCGCTGCCAGAATCTAAGTGAGTATTACTGATTGCGGGAGCGTCTCTTAGTAGAGCCCTGCCTTGGTCTTTCGGTATTCGTATTCGTATTCGTATTCGGCTCGAGCTGTTCGATATTCGGTTCAATCGAACTCGAACACAAACCTTTAGCTCGAACATGTTGTTCTCAGTTCGATTGAGTGTCCGAGTTTGATGTAAATGAACTAACCGATGCAGGGCTCTATCTCTTAGTCAAGTGCCGTCTACTTTGCTCTCCCTCTCGTTTGTCTTTACCCCCTCCGCCATGCTGACACACACACACGCCTCTGTTTCTCACAAAGGAGGCCTGCTTCATGAGCTGAGCAATGAGGGTGCCCGCCAACAGTTCGAGGTCTTTCTGGAGGATCTTATATTGCCGCTAATGGTTGCCTCAGCGCAGCGCGGCGATCGCGAATGCCATGTCGTTGTGCTGCTCGACGACGACATGGTCGACTGGGATGAAGAGTTCCCCCCGCAAATGGGCGAGGAGTATTGCCAGAGTAGGTCATGATTACAATTCTAATGTACATCTACTTAATCCCATATTTGCTGCAGCCGTGCATAGCACTGCTATGCATCGTTTCTTCAAGTACATTGAGAATCGTGATGTGGCCAAGCAGGTGATGAAGGACCGCGGACTGAAGAAGATACGCTGCGGCATTGAGGGCTATCCCACGCACAAGGAGAAGATACGCCGACGACCCGGCGGCCGTGCTGAGGTCATTTACAGCTATGTCCAGCGTCCGTTCATACACATGTCCTGGGAGAAGGAGGAGGCCAAGAGTCGTCATGTCGATTTCCAGTGTGTCAAGTCCAAGTCTGTTACGAATCTCGCCGAAGCGAATGCGGATCCGCCGCTCGAATTAGATGCAAGTGCGTATACTCTAAACTATTTCTGTGCCAGATTTTTCCAACTGTTCGTTTCAGGTGGCAATCCCATACCGCCGCCCACCGTAGCCGTGGTCAATGCTCAAGCACACAATGCTGATCTGGGCGCACCGGCAATGGGCATTGTTAACATTGGCGTTCCCGTTGACGTGGCCGCTGTTGTTGCGGTCGATGAAGCCGCCGGCGGCGTAGTTATGTTAAACGAACTGGAGCTTGCGGCCGCAGCGATCGCTGCACCGGGCACTGTTGATGAACATGTGTAGAGATCGCCCCAAGGGCTGGATATACACTGCCATCTTCTTAGCTGCACGCATCCAGAACAACGCTTTGTACGTTTTAAATCCTAAATTTTGTATACACTATCAAAATATAACAAAAACCTAAATATACCCTGCCAAGGAAATAACTCCGACTTGATCAAAAAGACTACAGATTTTTTGGGTTAGGAATATGAATCGCAAAATAATAATAGTAAATGTAGGGTATCTGCGATTCGAGCACACTTAACTTACCAGTATAAAGTTGTACGGGAATTCACGCTTGCTCCAATTTTAAACAAATGAAAACAAATTTTATTCAATTAAAAAACATATTGCCATGGCTTTGCGATTTGGAACTGTCCCCGATTTTAAGCACCATCAAAGGATTCGCGCTCGCCTTGCGCCAGCGTGGACGTCTCCCAGTTGAGGGAACGCTCAATGGCCATTTTCCATTTCTGATAGCGCAAATTACGCTCCGTGGAATTTATTTTCGGCTTGACGGCCTCGCGCTCCTCCGACTTGGACAGCGGACCCTCCATGTTGTACTGCGGCGCCACCGTCTTGTAGGCGGCCATAGCAGCGCCCTGGAACAGAGGGAAAAGAGAATTACAAAGTAGGTAAAGATGATGGGATTATAGCCCTGCATCGGTTAGGATACTTCCGTGTTAGAATAAACTATTCACGACATTCATGAGAAACAAAGTTCGAGCTATTGGAGTAAGCAACATGTTCGAGCTATTCGAGCAAGCAACATGTTCGAGCTATTGGAGTAGGCAACATGTTCGAGGCAACACGTTCGCTCGAACACGATTGAAATAACGAGTTTGGTTGAACAACTCGAACAGCTCGACACTTGACTCGATCCACCAAAATAATTGTTTCGAGTATCGGAAATGGCTTTCGTTCGATCCGATGCAGTTCGCTACGGTTAACCTACCAGCGCTGTGGTCTCTGCGATCTTGGCGCGCAGCACATGAATGCCGACGAGATCGGACTGCAGCTGCAGGAACAGATTGTTAACGGTCATGCCGCCATCGACCATCAGCTTGGCCAGTGGAATTTTGCAGTCCTTGTGCATGGAGTCGAGTATGTCGCGCACCTGGAAGCAAACCGCCTCCAGGGTTGCGCGGACAATATGCTCACTGGTCGTCTCCTCGCTGAGGCCACAGAGCACGCCGCGTGCATCCTGATTCCAGTAGGGCGCATATAACCCATTAAAGGCTGGCACAAAGTACACGTCCAACGAGTTATCCACCATGCTGGCCATGGACTCAATCTGGCCCGTATTCTGAATGAGTCCAATGTTATCGCGCAGCCAATTGAAGGCGGCACCAGCTATGGAGACGCTGCCCTCCAGCGCATAATAGGGCGTCGCCTTGCGTCCCAGCTGATAGCCCACGGTGGTCAGCAGGCCGTGCTGCGAGTGCACTATGGAGGGGCCCGTATTGTACAGCAAAAAGCAGCCGGTGCCGTAGGTGGCCTTGGCCTGGCCCTTGGTCAAGCACTGTTGACCCACCAGCGCCGCCTGCTGATCACCCAGATCCGCCGTTATGCTGATGCCCCGCAGCACGCCGGCCGCAATGGTGCCAAAGTGTTCGGCGCTCGAGCAGATCTCCGGCAGAATGCTATTGGGCAGGCCAAAGAACTTCAATAGATTGGCATCCCATTGCAGGGTCTCGATGTTCATAAGCATTGTGCGCGACGCATTTGTCACATCCGTCTTGTGCACCCCGCCATTCGGTCCGCCCGTCAAATTGTACATCAGCCAGGTGTCAATGGTGCCAAACATGGCGTCGCCCGCGTCCATGGCCCTGCGCACCGTGGCCACATTGTCGCGCAGCCAGCGCAATTTTACGCCGGAGAAGTACGGCGATAGCGGCAAGCCGCACAGTGGCCGCAAATAGTTAATGTTCCGCGCATTGTTTGGTATCGTTTCCAGCAATTCCTCCACAGTGCTTGTGGTACGATTGTCCAGCCAAATGATGGCATTGGCCAGCGCCTCGCCCGTGTTGCGATCCCAGACCAAAGTCGACTCACGCTGATTGGTAATGCCAATAGCCAAAATGTCCTGTGAAATTAGAAAAAAAAATAAAAAAAAAAATGTTTAATTATTACGAATTATAACGAAACTTTTAACTTGGATGAGACATTTTCGACCTTTTAAATTTTTGATAAAATGTCCTGAGAATTAGGGAAAGTAAATTTTTTAAAATTGTTCAATTTATTTTCGACCTTTCAAATTTTAACTGGTTATTGTTGTTGCATATTTTATTTATATTTTCATTATTTATTTAAAGTTTTAAGAACTGTTCCCTTGACCTTGCGATAACTTTTTCTATGAAGCTTGAGTTTGAATAAAAGCTTTTTGGCGCGCTGCTGAAAGCTCGCGTTATTTTTCCCGCATAAGCAAAGTGTGGCAACACTGGTCGGGCAGCACAGAAACAGTAAACAACAAAAATATATGTAAAGAAAAACCTGCTGATAACAAAACAAAAGAAAATATATAGAGAGAGGCAAGCAAAACGACGTAACAATTATTTTTACTGTAGCCGGATATTTAATTAACGTTGTGTGCCGTTCGCCTCAATGTCAAACACAGTTAAAATTCTCAGTCGAACAGTCGCCCAAATCATATTCAGCCGTAACAAACAGCAGCTGCGCAT